TATTAAACTAAAATAAAGGAAATGAATAACTTAGTCTTTCATCAGCTTACACACAACGCAAACATAGTGATATGGTGAAAAAAAATTGTGTAGCTATGAAGAAGCCAGGTAGGAGTATATCATGAATTATGTAGTATTCCTCTTCAAATATCCACCAACATCCTGTGAATATTGTATCATACCAATGGTGGACTTCTTCAAATCCATTGAAACATACTTCCCAGAGACCTAAAAAAACAAATTCATTTTTTAATTACCACAATATGTGTTTACATACATTACGTGGGCCGTTTGGCCCACAGTTAAATTTGGTGGAAAAGTTAAAGAGCCTCATAGTTTAAAATCAATCAGACAAATCTGAGTTTTATATAATTTAAATAGCTATTGATTGTTTATGTTATTAATGCTATCTTGTGCACAGCAAGTACTATTATTATTTTGTCTATCATAACTATACCAAGGTACGTTTAAATAAGAGATAGTTAAATTGATGTCTTTGTTATTGTAATTATATACTACATTCTAATAAACTTACCAATTTTAATAAACTTGGGATTTTCGAGTTTTCCGTCTGTCACTAACCAATAGGGGCAAACAAATGCAATGATTATGAACAGAGATGCAAATATAAAAAAACCTAAGGCAAACAAACCAGTCTTAGATTTATTAACCATTGTGAATTTTAAAACAATACTTTAGCTCCTATCAAGCTTATGTATTTATGATTTTTAGGTATTTATTTATGTTTAAGTTAGTATTTACATGTAATTCGACTAAAAAGTAACCGCAAAAATCAAAAATAAACACACCCACTCACTAGGGATACACGAACCGCATCGATTCGATAGCTATCGATTTTTTTAATTGATTAGATAGAATACGACTATGCTCATATCGACCGTAGGCTTGGAAGATCGTGAGAAAAAAACGTATCAATAAAACGAAAACAGTATATAAATTCTTTGCGTTTTTATTATTTATTTAAAATATGATACGATTTTCCAAGATCGAATAAGATCGATTCAAAGCAATATGATTCTGATGGTCGATTTCGATAATGACTTTCTTTATTTCACTATATCTTACACACAATACTTTATGAACGTGTGTTACATCATCCTAAGTGACACTGAAACCATTTTTTAAAATATGTTCAATGTGAAGAGCCTATGACGCTATTAATGAAAATGAAGAAAGTATTTTTTTTAAGAGAAAGTATTTAAAAAAAACGAAATCACAAAAAATCCCCTAGATGGCCGACTCTAGCAAAAGTTGATTTTTGCAGGAAACAAATGGACCAAATACAGTCATTTCCGTTCCTTTTAACTAACATATTAAAAAACTGAAATTTAAAAAGTTCGATACTTCGATATCAATACAAATACGAAAAAGTACAAATAGAATATGAGCTGATTATTGAGTTTTGAAAACTAATTTACTTTTAAACATGAAAGAAAACCGGAAGGGTTGTTAAGGAGAAATCAAGAACGTACCGTAGCGACATCTCGTTTGTTTTCGGGAACTATTTTTTTTTAATACTTCCCCATTGTTAAAGTTTAAATAGCCAAAATTGCGCTAAAAAAACTGTTTTATACCTATAATGGCGCTGATCGCGTGCTGTTTGTGACGTCACATGCCGGTAATTATATCAAGGCGGCATAACCTATGTTATGAAACAAGAATAAAAAAAAACTAAAAGATGGGAAATTAAATAAAAAAAATTATTTACATTAAATAAAAAAAAATAAAAGGGACGAGGTGACTGGTGAGGTGAGAAGTGAAGTAATGAGTGAGAGTGTCAATGTAGGTGTTAAGGTGATGGGTCGGAGGTCAGCGGTGAAGTTGTGTTCCGCCAACGTAGAAATTGTTGTCGTCAACGGTAGGCTGCTGGTGATGGGTCATGGGTCAGCGGCGAAGTTAAGGAGCACCTTCTCAACGACGCGTCACTCAATGTGTCAAGCAGATGTTTCTTTTGTAGCCCAGAATGAATCAACAGCTCAAACCTCCAGATGAAGACTCAAAGACAGCTTCAGAAGAAAGTGGTGAAGGAAGTAGAATAATTTTAGTGTTTATTTAATTATAGCCAAAATGGTGTCAAGTGACTTTGAGACCGTAACTTTGAAGAGTTCCCGGGACAGTCGGCCCCGGAAAATAGGCCTTTTAGGAATTTAGCTAGCTCTGTACGAGCTTCAAAAAGCTAACTTGGGCAACTGTTGCCGTTGAAGTGATGTAGAACTATTTGGGCGAGGCTTTATATACCTGAAGACGAACTCAAATTTGGAAGTAAATGATTTCAAATAAGAACCCTAAAAATTCAAAAACTACAGAGTTTCAATGCCTAAAACTGACAAACAATGAGTCAATTTTCATGAAGAGTATCAAATATAACCATAGCAACGAAGAAAAACTTTAATGTCAATTCTGTCAAAACAATTAAAATTAGCGATAATTTGTGTTATAATCAGAGGTCGGAATTAGGTAGAGTTATTTATGTACTTGCATCGAAATGTTGATATTAATGTGGACCTTCCCGGGATTTCTTTATTTCTTTCTTTCATTGATGTAAGTTTGGCAACGTCGTGCGTGCAGTAGTTTAAATTGTGTAAAAGTAAATAACTTTTTATTTTTAAAATCACGGATTTTTTTCTGCTCTTTAAAATTCATCTCGGGATTTGAGGCATATCCACTTTATTCTTTCGCTGTATGAAATCAGTGTAAGTACATGAATAACTCTACCTAATTCCAACCACTGGTTATAATATATAAATAAGTGCTTTAATATGATTAGAATTCATAAAATGTATAACGAAAAACTATGAAAGCTACAGGTAAGGGTTTACATTAGTATAAGTAGACAAAAACATAGGATGAAAGTTCGTAGAGGTTTGAATAAGTTTATATTACAGAATTTTAATGGTTACAGATATAAAATTGAAGGTCGACAGTTATGGAATGAAAAAAGTAAAGAATATAAATGGAAAACGCTAAAAAGTTTATCGATATGAGCAAAATTAGTGATATGAATCTAAGGAATGAAAACGATACGAAAGGTTAGTTACGACACCTACTTATCAACTTTTTATTTGCGAAGAAAACAAATAATAGTACGGAATTTAAGTGAAATTTTATGTTTAATATTTGTAGCTACTCTGGTTTTGTTTATGAAAATGAGCTACAAATTGTATGTTTAAATACAAATTTTGCGTATCTCTAAAAACACTGTTTTGACATGACAGTTTTCTGTTTACGTGTGACGTCACATGCCGGTAAACAGAACCTGCACGCGTAGTATGACAAACTCGAGAGACAAAGCGTTTCTCGAGTTTGTCATGCTACACGTGCTGTTATTGGTTGCCGCGATAACTAGGCATGTCGATTCACTTGAAAATAAATCGATTCTGAATCGATTGGAATCGAACATACTAGAATCTTTTTAGATTAAATCGATCATTAAAAGATCGATTTTCGATTAATCGCGAATTTTTCAATCAAACATGCCTTATATAGACATAGAGTATTATTTATGATAATTTATTGTATATACAAGTAATGCAGGAATCGTAAGAGACCAATCAGGCAGTTTTTTATAATAGATGGGCGATGTATGGTTGATTCCACGAGCTGGAGTAACAGTGACAGTAGTTAAAACTATATTATACTGACATTCGAATGGGTTCATAAATATTTATTTTATACGTTCAAATTATCAATAGGTCTGATAACAGCAAAATATTAAAAACTAAAAATATCGTATCTAAATTAGGAATTTTATATTGCTAGTTCTAGAATTGAATTGGTCCGATTCAAGGGGTTCATGAATCGATGTAGCTTTCCAAATCTATTTTTTTACTCTAAATAATCGATTTCAGATCGACATGCCTAGCGAGCAACAACCAATTAGTGATGTGCCGAGTCGGCTATATTTGGTATTCGAGTACTTTGGTACTCATTAAAAAAAGGATCGAGTCAGTACCCGAGTCAGAAAAGTCGGGTAGGTATTCGAGTGCTAGCGTATTCGAATGGGCTAAGTGGGCTCGTGTACTATTTGAATCAAACTTTGTAGTTTGCATGAGTTTGACGATAACTACGCATTATAATGAACCATGAACAATAGGAAAATATTTCAATAATCATAGATTGATACAGCTATAATCAGTCATTTAATCATATTAATCATACTTTGGTAATTATGAACATTATTAAAAAGTTCTATAGAATCACGCAAAGCAAATCTTGCTTTTATAATTTTAATCTTACTAAAATTCTTGAAACTGTAAATGACTTTAAAACTAACATTGGTATAAAATAAAATAAGAAATAAACAAGAACACTTATGTTAAAAACTTTAAGTTACGTCGTAAACGTAAAAATCTTCTATAAAATTATTAGTAATCAACAAATAATTTTATAGAAGAATACCGTAAGTATTGAATCCTGTACTCAAGTGCCTGCGTATCCAAATTCTGTATTTTAAGTGCTCGGGTACCTGAGTACCTGCTAGGTATTCCAGTAAGTACTCGAGTCAGTCTGACTCGGCATATCTCTACAACCAATTACGTTGTCGCCGCAATTTTCTTTACGTTATTTTAAATATTGGTATAATAAAATCTTTAGAAAATAGAAGTTCTAAAATCAATAGGTACATAATACGTCGTCGTAAATTTTTAGCTTATGTTTCTTTATATAAAGTTCCAAAATTATTTTTTTATAATTTTGACCTCGATTTTTCATTTATGTTTTGTAATAAAGGAATAAAGCTTACTATCTTCGGACCTATATTATTAAACTAAAATAAAGGAAATGAATAACTTAGTCTTTCATCAGCTTACACACAACGCAAACAGTTTATGCATGAACTTTGACTTTACCTATGTATACTTAAATTATACGTTTATTTAGTAAGTGGTACCTAAAGAACTTAAACTAAAATTCTTAGCTGAAAAAATTGTTTAGCAACTGTTTTCATTCATGATCAAGTTTATTAACTTTTAATTTCAGAAAAATGCATTTCTACCCTTCTTACTTTTAGATCACATACAATGAAATTTAAAGAAATCTAAATACCAAATTATAATAATTTATATTCATACAAATAATCAACTATAATATTCAAGTTTATTTTCACAGTGAGAACTTATATCTGCTATGTCATTAGTAATCTTATTCTTTTCTTCTGTCCACACCCCATTACCTGTAAAATAATGGTTCTTCTCAAGTAGATATAAAACTAGGCTCAATTTCTGTGACTTATTCAATTTGCTAAGATTCAAGTATTCATGCACTTGACCCTTTTTACCTCTGTCATTACTGTCTAATAAATTTAGATTATTTTTTATTTTATTCCAAGGATACAACAATATTGCACAGTTTTCATAGATATGTGTATTAGAAAACTCAATAGATAACTTTTGATAAACATATTTTACTTGAACTAAGGGTATATTAATCCAAAAGGGATGTCTTCTTAATTTTTTTCTTATATCACTCATAGTATAACTATTTCCAAGTGATTCTGATATACAGAATATTAGGTCTTTCCCTTTGCCTAATCTATCACCTGGCGCTTTTTCATAAACTTCGTAATGAGCTGTACTCCCTGATAAAATATTGAGACTAAGACATTTTTTGTTATTGCTATACAAAAGCCTCATTCTCTTCATAGCAGTATTTTTGTAATGAATCATTTTCAAAAACCTGGGATGGCTGAAAAATGTATTGAATTCAGGTATTTGTTTAGCCTGTTCTAATCTTTCTCTTACAGTCTCTGGACCTAATGTATAAATATCAAAACATCTTTTTTGAGCTTCATTACTAATACCATATTCCTCCAATATTTTCCTGGTTTCCATCAAAGATGTTATACTTTTTGTAGCTAATTTAGGTCTCATTCTTAAAATTTCTTTTATATCAATTCCACCTATGGAACGGAAATCATAAATAATTTCCTTTAAGTTATCAGGGTCTGTGTGTATCAAATACATATTGTTTTTCAATTTTTGATTAGATATCATTATTACTGACTGTAATAAATTAAAAGTCTCATTGATAGCATGAAGTGGCCGATGTTTAATAGTGGGATATGTCTTAATGCCTCTGTAAAACTCCACTTCTGATAAATCAAGTATCAGTTCAAGATATCTTTGAATAATATTTAAGCGTAAATTATAAAGTGTCATTTTATTTACATCACCATAAATTGAAGATGTGAGGGCTGTAGGCCATTGGGTCATGTAATTAGCAAGTCTGTTCTCAATATTCAAAAATGATGGTATAATATTTGTTTGCTTTAATTCTCCAACTGTTTTCATTTTAATAATTTTTAAGTAAGTTAAAATATGAGTTGCTGTTATTTTATTTATTCCACACTCATTTAATACACTGTATCTATTTTTTAATGTGACTGGTAATATACTAAAAAGTTGTGGCTCCTCTAATAAAACTTTTTTGGAAAATCCTAATTGTCTCAAAGTTTGCAGCAAAAATGTTATTCTTTTAGGCTCCAGTTTTTGTATTACAGGATACTTCATACAAATATATTCTATTTTACTTTCATTAACATTTAAAATTTTGCTTAGAAAAGATCGATTAGTTTTCATTGTACTTAGATAATGGCACAATACATAATGTGATCCTATTGTGGATCCTCTCACACCCATTAGTACCATATAGGAAATCATGTATATGCGATTTTTCTTTCATATAATCTCTAGGTAAATGATCTGAAAAGAATTTGTTGATTAATTTTAATTGATATAAGCACAATTTTTTCATAGGATTAATGGTGTACCTGTTAGATTCAAATATATTATTTTTATTGTTTATAATATTCATGAATTTTCAAGGCCATTTCCCAAATACTTATTCAACATAAAATATTCTTATTTATTACCAATTACATTATTTATGTAACAAATTAAAAAGTTCTATTAAAGTCGTGCTCTACCTACTTCTTTTCTTAATTAATGGCTTATCTGCGAATTTCGCACAATTCTGCCAATGTCAAGTAGATTAATTAATTTATACATGAAAAATGAATAATTCTATTTCAAAGCGTTAAATGTCGACATTGCAAAAACGCTAAATAAATTATAAATGAATGATGTTCACTTGACATATTTTTTTTTTTGTATTTATAAAATAAGGGCTCGCGCCCATACAGCCATTTTTTTTTTTAATATTACATTCATAAAATAAAAGGATCGCGTTTTCCAGCCAGTCGCCTACAAGTGTTATACCTTATATTATATAATTAGTATTAGAATCTTTCCACAAACAGAGAGACTAAAGATATATTATAATCCTCCGCATATAAACACTGAAGACATAGCTCTTTGATAGAAACAAAATAACAACAATGTTGTGCTGAAAAATATTAAGGGACTGTTGATCACCCTCCCGGTAGTATAGCAAGTTACCAGAATCAAGGATTATCGAGTCCTCCCCCTCTCTTATATTAACTTCAGATAACCCGAAAATGTCCCAACTTAACTTACTGATACATTCTTCCAACTCCATTAGCTTCGCATCAGTCCTCAATGTTCGTTATAGCTTGCTAGGTCAAGTCGTCGTAGATGGTAGCCGGATCTTCATCATCATCATCATCACTTCAGCCGAGAGACGCCCACTGCTGGACATAGGCCTCCCCCAAACCCGGGGATTATTCGCACTCCTTGCCCTACCGTTACCGTAGTCGTTACCATAACTAGGAATAGTATGGCTACCTGGGACTAGGGGCCGATTTGTGTTATCCATTCTCATGAAGGGAAATTGCCAAAATCGCCACGGATGGCAGACGGGTTGGCGATCGCAGTGACCCAGGAAACGCTGAATTTCTTGCTGAAACGCTGAAAGCTGAACGCTCGAAAGAGTTCTTAGGAAACGCTGCTACCTAATAGCTATGTTCCCTTAGTCGTCTTGTATGACAGCCACGGGACGAGAGGGGTGGTGCTATTCTAGGCTGGCACACACTATGAAAATCACACATTTTCCTAATTTAAATACGGAGATAACTTCTTTAAAATTTAAATTTTTTGAATGATACTGATACCTGCCAGGTACAAATGGTTATAGCCAGAAAGATATTATTACATACTATATACGAAAAGGCTTTTTCCCCAACCTAATATATTCTTAATAAAAAATAAAAACCTGGCTTTTAGGAAAAACCCGGAAATAATGGATTTTTTTCGCACAGCCCATCTCTAATCGTACTATATCGTTAAAATTGTTGTTACTATAAAAATATTTTTATGTTTTATTTTACATATGTGGCGACCGATACGTAGCGACATCTAACATATTGCAGTAACATCGCCACAACAATCGATAGCAAAACAACACCCAGTAACGAGATGGCGCTGTATATCGTTAATTAAGATACTAAAAGTCATTTAGAACAAAGGAATCCTACATCGCACACAATGCATTTGTAGCGAAATTTATGTACCTAGAAATTATTCTTTTTATAGTTTTCATATTGTTTATGTCATTGGTGGACAATGATTATTATAAATTCTCGAAGAGTGAGTAACAACGCAGGAAGAGAATTTTCCTCGGTCTTTTAATTATATAATTTGTTGAGTATTTAAGAAGCGTTTAACTTTTTACATCCAAACCATTCAAGTTAAAGTTGATATTGAATATTCTGGTGAATTGAACGCAGTACGCAACCCCCAAACATTTCATTACTAATTCGCTTGTATAGAACGTTCAACCTACATCGGTTGGACCACGGTTCCCAGGCTAACAACACCTAGCTCGGAGTGAGACAATTATCCTGTAGTCTCCCTTGCCAGTTGTTTCCATCATCTAGTGGGATCTCACTTTCACCATTATGTTTCCTATAATTATGGACTTTTTGTACAATTCGATATTGATGAGCGATATCGCACGAATCGCTCGCCCTTCTAATATGTATGAAGAATCGCAAGTGTTTGCTACTAATGAGATTGCACAATTTGTCAATATCGGTCACAAATCTCCTCGACATTGAATGAGAAATATTTAAAAAAACATTACTTTCCGAAATCAAACTAGATGTAGCTACAGTACTTTCTTGACTTCTCCATGACAACCCTTATGGTTTTCTTTCATGTTTAAAAGTAAATTAGTTTTCAAAACTTAATAAACAACTCATATTCTAGAGTTTGGCAAGCGAAACGTGACACCACCTATTTTTCCGTTTTCATATGGCAACAACATAGAACTGTCAGTTTGACACTACGTTAGACAATTCAAGAATATTGAATTTTGTTGTTTTTGCGAATTTGAACTTGTGTTTTTGGTTAAAAATTATGTCGAAGCCGATAAAAAGTTCATCGAGGAAACTTCTTTCCATCATGATTGACAAGTTTACTGAAGTGAAAACTGAATTAAATAAAAATTTCATGGAGAAATTACAACGATTAGATAAAGTTGTATCTTTTTTAGGTTAGTTTTGTATTATAATTTTGATACTTTCGTTTTAATTTTCTGTAATTAACTAAACAGATATTTTTTATAAAATATTGCTCTATTTCAGATAACTGTGATGGTGATATTCAACCAATAATGGAGGAGATAAATGCAATAAAAACTTTAGAAAAACAAGAAATGCTGAATTCGGAAACGCAGTACTTACAAAAAATTTCTTCAATGACAGGTCTCTTTTCTTGTTTTGATTTAAGATAGATTGATAGTATTCCTATAATATTTACATAGGTTTTTTATGATGTATTGGTTTTTATTGTTGACATCCAATGATGTCATAAGAATGTTTTGTTTAACAAGGAAATTCACAGAATTCATGAAACTAATCAAACCATGTAATTGTTATACATGCTAAATATGCACATAAACTTAACTAAATTAAACATAAATTGCATTCATAGTTGAATAGGTATTTAAATTATTTTGATGTATGTGTCTATCATTATTTGCTTTTAAATACATTTAACATATCTTTGTTTCAAAGTGTTTAATCTTTTATAGATGTAAGTATAAGGACACTAAGGGCCAGTTTCACCGGTTACTGATAAAGTTTCAGATAGTTATCTGATAGTTAACGCTATCTACTGGATAAAGGTTGCTGTTAACTTTTTTCTGTTTCACCATCAAACTGCTAGATAATTTATCTGGCAGATAAATTATCGGCCACTTATTAGTTGACGGAACGGCAACGTCGCTTTTTTGCGTTTCAATACTACGACCCAAATTATCGTCAATCAAAAATCATTTTTAAAACCTAATTAATATTATTTTTTGTGTTCAATATTATTTAAGTAAACTTTTTATACTTATACTTTACATATTTTGAATTATAATTTTATGATTCTAGAATGAAATAATACGATATTCGTATACTTTGCTACGTGTTTACAGAAACGAAACGCAACTATCATTTGTTTTGCTTTGTTGATATTTTGTGCTTAAGACGCTTTTCAGTTTTTAAACTTTTCTTTGTGTATTATTTTCGTATTTGTTAATTAATAATGGAAAAACAAAAACGTGAAAGAAGTGTGAATTTTAATCAAAAAGAAACAAACGGAGCTTCTTTACTTACTAGTTAACGGAGATTTTTTACTAAATAGCCCGTTGTAGTTTTTATATCACTTTCTATTAACGATAGAATATAAATAACAGCCCGCTTGGTAAGCCGAAATCGATTTCTAAAATCTTGATCGTCAAGTGATTCTCAATAATTAGGTCTAGGGTTAATTACTCGATTCCTACGGGGTCGCGTAATACGTTCGAAATATTCATCTAATTTGTCTTCTAAAAACTCAAATAAATCCATTTTAGAATATTTGTGACACTTGTGACTGCAATCGACGCAAAGCACACAATAATGGTCTAAAACTAAAACTATTTTCGTTCCCGTCAATTGAAACTTTTTTTTTATCTATCAGATAACGTCTTTATCAGCCACTTGAATCGGCTGATAACATATCTAATACTTTATCTGCCAGATATTTTTATCCGAGACCTGTGAAACCAAAAGTTGTAGTTTATCTGGCAGATAAGTTCCTGATAGACTATCAGGGACTTTATCAGCAACCGGTGAAACCGGCCCTAAGAAGGATAAAAAATGAAGCATTAATTAATAAAGGAAAATGGGACACTCCTGGGAAAAAACGACCTCATCAACCAACAGTGTCTGCTTTAGATAATTTTGATTTAAGTGCAATTCGGAATAAAGTAAATGAATTTTACTGTGTGAAAAAAATTGTTCCAACATTAAGAAGCCTTCACAATGAATTAAAAGATGCAATAGGATTCAGTGGTAGCCGTGAGACTTTACGAAAAATTATGCTTAAGAATGGATTTTCTTTTAAAAGCAATGAAAATGAACGTTCTATGCTTATAGAAAAATACCAGATTTCTGCATGGAGGCACAAGTATTTGAGAGAAATAAATATAAAACGAAACGAAGGAAAGCAAATTGTGTACCTTGATGAAACTTATGTACATCAGAATTATAAAGTTAAAAAGTCTTGGCAAGGACCTTCAACAACTGGTGTCACTACAAAGATATCCTCTGGAAAACGGCATATTGTTGTGCATGCTGGATCTGAGGAAGGTTTTGTGCCTGGTGCATTATTAGTGTTCAGTAGTAAATCCAAATCTGCTGATTATCATGATGATATGAACTCATCGAACTTTATGAAATGGGTCAGAGAAAAATTAATACCAAATTTAAGTAAGCCCAGTGTAATTGTTATGGATAATGCCAGCTACCATATAAAACAAATCAATAAACCGCCTATAATGTCTAATACCAAAGCAGATATCCGTAAATGGCTTGTAAATAATGGAATACATTTTGAGGAATATCAGACAAAGGCAGAGTTAATGTGTTTGGTTAATGATAAGAAAACATTGCCTGTATATGAAGCTGAAGAGATTTTAAAAGAACATAATCATGAACTTTTATTGCTGCCACCGTATCATTGTGACTTAAACCCAATAGAGATGGTTTGGAGTCAAGCAAAAAGAAAAATTGCAAGCAGAAACATTGGAATACCAGGAAAGGAAATGGAAAACTTAATAATAGAGTGTTTTAACTTAATTACCCCTAGTGACTGGAAGAAATACACTGATCATGTTTTAAATGTCGAAAATGATTACAAATTAAAAGATGGCATTGTTGAAAACGAACTTGAAAAATTTATTATATCTGTTGGTGCAGACAGTAGTGAAGAGAGTGACTCTGATGATTCCTTGTCATTGTTATCAGGTGTAGAATATTTAGAAACAGATTTTGACTATGAATCAGACTAAAGTATTTTTAGTCTGATTCATAGTCAAAATCTTATCTTAAATTTTCTATTGTGATTAACATGATGATTTTGTGACACCTGTATTATGTAATTTATCCATGGCACTTAATTGTAACAAAAATAAATGTTTTTTTTATTGTAATCTGGTGTTTATATTGACTAATTTAATTTGATAGATAGTGGTTCTGGATCAGAGCAAAAGGTTGTGATGAAAATCCCTTAGGAGACATGTATGTGTTATGAACACATTATAAATATAAGGGCCAGAAATCAAAATTGGCTAACATCACATTTATTAAAAAAATGTGGCCAGAGTCGCCCATATTCATTACAAAAAAACAAAGAAGTCGTTGCAAAAAACACCCTTTTAATTAATGACAAATATGAATTTTTAATATTATAAGTGCTGTTAGCCAATAGGTATAACGAATGGGTTAAAAAAAAGATTCGATTTAGTCCGTCAGTCAGATAATAGAAAAATATTGGATACGTATTTTTTTTCGCTTTAATTTAACAACAAATGGCTTAAGAGGTACTATGCGACGACTTCAAATATGCTTTGCAACAATGTTACTTTAATACAGTTTATCGATACGAAATCAAGTGTCAAAATGGAGTCCAGTGGAGAATGCCGATATTGACATTTCGAAATTGCTCATCATTGATAGAGAATACGAAATAGTGATTTTGACACAATCAAAGTGTCTATTTTTTACGGTGATGACGATTCTTGGTTGTCAGTTGAGTTAGTGAATAGGCCTACTGATATGCTGTTAACTGTACAATTAAGAACAGTCACGCTTTAGTCAAATGTTCCAAAACAAATAATTTTAATTGATATCTAAATGTTAAGATTAAATATAATTAATAAAAGTATCAAAATTATTTTGCAGTACTACATTCAGTGTTTACTGCTTAAGAATTTTTGAAATTGCCGCCCTTTTCTTGTGACACGTTTCGCTTGCCAGACTCTATTTGCCCGTTTTCGTATATATATTTTTTTGATATCTTAGTTTCGAACTTTTCAAATTTCAGTATTTTTATATGTTATTTAAAAGAAAAGGAAATGACTGTCTTTGGTCCATTCGTTTCCTGCAAAAATCAACTTTTGCTAGGGCCGCCATCTAGTGTGGTGCTTTTGTAGTGCTTTCATCTTTTTAATATGTACTCATTGTTCAATTTGTCTATCGCTGCATCGCTGTGTCTGGTTTTGTAAAAATGGCGACTTTTCTACCTCGTTCATTTGGTCTTGCTGAAACCTATTTTTTGAAGAATGGTAGTAAGGTAGGTAATTGAAATACTAATGTCTGAACGTTTAGTGTTAATGCTTGTAATATCCACCTTTTCAAATGTTACAAAATTATAGTTTTAGTCAGTATATTGGTTACCAATTCTATAAAAATTGTTGGGTTCGCTTTATTCATAGAATTTCGGTGATAATTTCCTATTGATTCTTATTTTATATACATTATATAGCAACGGTTTGTACTTAGACCTTGACCAAAAATTAACAGTTTGTATTTATAAATTTGACCTTGTCGTTTTCATCTATTGTGACCTTACGTCATCGATATAGTTTTTAAATTTTAACTTTTTTATTTATTTTCACAAACATTCCAATACGTATATAAAAATACTAGTATTGTGTATAATCTCCTCATAACCATTATTCCGTAAAGTCTTAATTTAAACACCTTATCAGTTAATAATAACGATTTCCTCTGGCTAAATTTGTCATTTCATTTTGTTTGCATATTTATATAGCGTCTGCTTTCTTTAAAACTGTTATAGAATTTTTATAATAGTGCATTTTATATTTAATTTATGCACTGCTACGTTATTGTTATTGGTGATACATATATCAGATGAAATTCCATTTATTAACAATTTTTTTATAGAAAAATATTAAATAGCATCTTGACTTTATGAATATTTCAAATATCAATTTCAATTTTGTGTCATTTGTTTCAATTAGCTTGCTGCAGTATCTGCAAGTATCATACCAAGTAAACAACAAGTACGGAACCTGAATGTCCATGAATATATCAGTTACACTTTACTACGTGACAATGGTATCCCTGTGCCAAAATTCAATGTGGCCAAGACCAAGGATGAAGCAGTAAAGTTTGCCAAAGAACTAAATTCTCAAGACATTGTACTCAAAGCACAGGTAACCAAATAAAAAACAATAGATATTGCAATAAAATGTTTGAAACTTTCATTGTTTTCTAATATAGACATTGAAATTAACTGTTTTTAAATTTGCTTTTGCGAAATGAAAATTATAATTTATTTGTATTTTCATTTTATTTATATGTTTATTTTTAAAGAATTTCATTAAATGTTTAGATGATGATTTGGCAACTGATATTTTTTTCAATCAGGTTTTGGCTGGTGGTCGTGGTAGGGGTGCTTTCAAAAATGGGCTAAAAGGTGGTGTGCGAATGGTGAACACGTAAGTACATAAATTGGTTTAATTAATTATAATTAAATGTTATGATTGGCACATGGTCAGTAACAAAAACGTCAAATAAGGTGTAATGATACCTTTAAGCTCTTGATGAATGTCAATTTTGTATTGGTAAACTAATTTTTAGTGGATGTTTGTGCAACTGGCTGACAGCATAACATTTATAAATGAACCGTGTAAAGATTAAAGATTTCAAACCATAATAAGAACTTTGGTACTTAATATTGTATTTTATCAATTTTGCATTCACAAGATTGTATTTATAAATCTAATATTTAGAACAAATATTTATCTTCAAGATAATTCTTTCTGTGCAATGACATCGATGAAAATACACTCACTAGTAGTGAAAAGTAACATGTGTTCCAAAAAGTCATCAGCTCTGTTAATTCTCAGGTTGCTCAATGGTTAGAGCAGTTGCCCAGATTGTGAAAGGTTGTGGGTTTGATTCCTATGTTGGGGTACCTTTGGGCTGGTGAATTTTTAAGCATTTTTCATAAAAGAACTTGGGTACTATTTTTTGGATAATATTTAAGAAATGATTTGAAAATTAAAAAAGATGTTTTAGATTTCAAGGGTTCAAAGAAGTAAGTAGAAATAAATTTAATAATATAATTTTATTCATCCTTAGGCCTGAGGTAGCTGGTGATATTGCCGGCAAGATGCTGAACCAATATCTGGTTACGAAACAGACAGGTGCTGCCGGTCGTATCTGCAACTTGGTGATGGTCACAGAGAGGAAGTTCCCACGTCGCGAATACTATGTTGCTATTATGATGGAGCGCAGTTTCAATGTAAGTTTGTTTTCTTGCAAATAAGGTATTGTGTACCTATAGATTATTTTTTAATTTGATAATGTAATAACTTATTTTAAGATGCCTACATCTTTTATTTTGTGACATCAATATGGTATATATCAATATGAAGGTAACTACTAATAACCAGGCTTCGGATTAATAATTATGAAATACTACACAAACTCTTTTAGTACCTTAGGACATGTTATTAAAGGGGATCATTAATCATCTTTAAACAAATATCAAATATGATTTTTCGGACAGAGAAAATTGTCTGGAAAAACTACAAAAACAAAAATAAAAAAATTGTTAAAAATATTTAATTATCACTTTTTGTTCAATGTGATTTCACAGTTATTTCTTGTATTAAATTTTAATCATCTAAAGCAACGAAGTTAAAAGTTTAAACAATTATAGATGCCATATTGTTTTTAAAAATTATTGCCAGTAACTATGTATAATTATCAGATATTTATTGGACAATATATATAAATTTTTTTCTTGAGAATTACAAACCCCGATTATAACTATAGGCTAACAGAGAACATTCACAGGCAGTCAAATATGTAAAAAAATGAACTTTGCAATTGATTGTATAATGTTGTTTATATTTGTTCATCTATACTTTAGGTGTTTTAAAGATTAAAGTTATATAAGAAACAATTTTCTATAATACTTAATAAAAAAAATAAACAATGGTCTTCCATAAAGTAGTAGATAGTTAAAAGTTATACCGCCCGTAACATAAAATCCATTAAAATTGACATTACTGCTCATACCAAATTTTCAAATTTAGTACAAATATTTGAGCTTGAAGTCGTCATGAAACCTTAATGAATGTTTGTTACAATTATTAGAGTTTATATTATTTTGTTGCAAGACATAATGGGACTAATCATACTAAATCTATAAAACCGACATACTTTTTGTGCGCCACGTCACAACGCTGAGATAGGTATATCTTTCGGAAATTATATGTTGTTGCTGTCGCCTATTGTTTCATTCTAATTTATGAAACATTACGCAACAACGACACAAATATGTATCCACCTTGATTATTGATTTTCAGTACTAAAAAGTCTAATTTTTACTACTGAAAATTCAGATAATAATTTTATTAATGTGTTGAATATCCATAGGGTCCGGTAATTATTGCGTCGTCACAAGGAGGAGTAAATATTGAGGATGTAGCAGCTGAGAACCCTGACGCTATTACTTATGAACCTATTGACATTGTCCAAGGCATTACCTCAGAACAAATCGATCGTGTAATAAAGAAGGTTTGTATATTGCGTGAAAAATTCCTGTGCGATTTTTTTCTCATTCATACGTTTATTAGTAAACACTGTTATCAGCTGAAAATAAGTGAACTCTTAATCAGTGACCTTTATATTCATTTGTATACATTATAAGACTACCAAGTTTTTTATGACCTTTATATTCATTTGTATACATTATAAGAATAACAAGTATTTTTTTTATCGCATTGATGCCCATATGATGCCGCCATGTACTGTTGTACCTAAACCATTACTCAATTAGTATTACGTAATCATTCTCGCTTTAGCAAACTGCAATCTTTAGCAGAAAAAGCATAGAACATGAAAAAGAATACATGCTGATAAAAGTGGGTCAACCCCAAAATAAGTATAATCTCAGGAGATAAAAACAAACCTAGACAGTAGACAGTTTGCATCATTTTCATAATCATGAAAATGTGACAGACACAAGATATCTGTTATTTTTGCATATAAAACATAAGATGTAAATTGCAAAATTTTATTTTAAATAAATACATAAGTGAACAATTAAAACCAGATGAAATTGAATATCAAACCTCGATGTTTAATATGTGAGAAATTTTGAATTTAAATTATTTTATATATTTTTTCCTAGATCGGTCTGGAAGAGAGGGCTACTGAAGCTACTGAATTAATGAACAGAATGTATGACTTATTCTTGAAAAAAGACGCTTTGCTAATTGAAGTAAATCCTTATGCTGAAGATGCTATTAGTGGGAAATGTAAGTACATACTTTGCTCTTCATTACATTCTTCCTGAAGATAAAAAACGACTGTTTGGGTAAAGATAGAACCAAATATGTTTTAGTGTAGTAATATATATTTGTTATAATAATAGTTCATAATAATTTAGTAAGACTGGTCAGCTAGCTGAATGATAAAGTTGTTTATTATATGCCTATGTTACAATAATAAAACAAATGTAGATAAATTGTAACAATTTAACTTGTATCTATATTGTAACTCATGATAAAAAATTTTGGTATTTTGAATTTTTCGTGTTCTTTATGTAATTAATTACACGGTTTACATTTAAATTAATTTGTATTTTACTTAGTGGTGAAAAACTGATAATTTTATATGGTTTGCTTTAAATTTTGTTTCAGTTTTCTGTTTGGATGCAAAATTCCGATTTGATGATAACGCTGAATTTAGACAAAAGGAGCTTTTTGATTTGAGAGACGTCTCTCAGGAGGACCCAAAAGAAATTGAAGCTGCTAAATATAACTTGAATTATATTGCGCTTGATGGTGAGATTAGTTGATTATTGATCCTACTATTTGTACTAGCACTTGTTCTTCTTACACATGGACCTTCATTGATAGGAAGAAAAGCTTGCAATTTCACTGTTACTAAAAAATTTCAAATTTTTCTTCCTTCGAATTACTAAATAAAGCTTTTTAATTTTAATTAATGCGAATATATCAATCTTAATTATTGAAACTGTACCCGTCCTATAAATTCGTACTAAATAGTATTAATGTAACTACTTATACCTACACTTTTCTAGAGATACTAAAGAAAAAATTGACACTAGAAATTTTGAAAATTGTTCTCAAATCAACCAAAGAAACTAGTACTAAATGTGGCGCATATTGCGATGTGTATGTTTACTTAAAAAAAAAAATTAATTTGTAATCTGATCCAAAAAAAAAACTTGAGGTTTTCTACTTTGCAAAACTTTATTTTTTTGTTTTTTTTTACAAATTTATTGATACAAGTAATAAGCGGCCAAAAACAGAAGGGTCTTTTACTTTTAAGATAATTATGCTATTTTGAGACTCAATATCAGATTCTCTATGTTAATTTAAGTTTTTGTGTAATTTCATGAATTATTTTTCACTACCGAAATTACCCTATTTTACAGTCATCTGAATAATAACATTAGCTTTATTTTCGAAACTAAATATGTACTCATAATATGTATCTGCATAGGTAACATTGGATGCATGGTGAACGGAGCTGGTTTAGCAATGGCCACAATGGATATCATCAAGTTGTACGGCGGTGATCCGGCTAACTTCCTCGATGTTGGCGGTGGCGCCACCGCCCAGGCTGTGTCGGTAATTAGAACCTTTATTTAATTGTATTATTAAAAAAGGCTTTAAGTTAGTTAAATTAATGGGTATAAAAACAGACAGTGATATTAAGTATTATAAATGTTGAAAGAAAACTATATGTATACGCTATCCATAGACATGCGTATCCTTTCCGCGTAGAAATGTCTATTAGTGTACAGGGTGGGGTTAGTGACCTATGTCGGAAAAAGGTCCAACTGAAAAATGCATAAAAAATATTTTTACAGGAAGCATTCAAAATCATTCTGTCCGATCCTAAAGTGTCTGCTATTTTGGTGAATATTTTCGGAGGTATCATGAGATGTGACGTCATCGCCGAGGGTATCATCACCGCTGCCAAAAACTTGAACATACAAATCCCTGTCATCGTGCGTTTACAGGTCAGTAGAACAGATCAATTACTATTTATTATATTATTCTCAAACTTATCTCAATTTTGGAAAAAAAACATGACTGCAATTTATCAACAAAAAAATAATAAAAAATAATCGTGGCTAAAATTTGCCATGCAACCCTGTTGCAATCTATTATATTATCTTAGATCTATAATAAGTAGCATAAAAAAAAACAGATAACTGCAGATTTAAGTAGTGGGATCTTAGACTAATAGTTGTATGTGTTATATTGTATGTATGTTAAATGAACAGGGTACGAAAGTGAACGAAGCCCGCAAACTAATCGCTGAATCCGGTCTGAGGATCGTACCGCGCGACGACCTCGACGAGGCGGCTCAACTAGTGGTGCAACTCTCCGAGATCGTATCACTGGCCAAGAAGGCCGGCGTAGAGGTCAAATTCGATATTCCTAAACCATTCTTAGAAAAGTAGACAAACAGTATTCTCATTCACTCCCAAATCCTAATACTTCTATTATGATATTACATTGTCGATGTGATATCGATTATGTTACGATTTACTTGCGGATAAACGCGACACGTATGAAAATATTTTACTTACAGTATCTAGCTACGATTAGGTTAAGCTTAAAGCGGTTTATCTATTGTTTTATTTTTAGGCGGGTGCCAAATTTTATTTTTGTCATTTTACACATATTTATAGCACCTTTATTCCATGTGATATACATATGTTTGTATGTTGTTAATCTGTGAATATATTATAATTGTTAACCTCCCAAGTGAATGTCGCATAAGCTTTGTAACATAGTCCGAGTTGTGGAACAACATTAGTTTAAGGTATTTTCATTGTAATATTTATTGAATTCACTTTGTTATTCTTGTTGTTATTGAGTAGTTAGTGCAAATTTAATTAATTGACATATTGGCCTCTTAAAGTAATTAAATTGTGGTATTGTTACCAATTTTTTCACTATTAAACGAGGTGTATATAAGTTGGTAGTTTTATGCTTGAATCGTCTAAAATGTACAGTGCTATTCCAGAATTACAGTTGAATACTATGTATTAGTATTTATTTATATAATTTGTAGGTAGCCCAATGGCTCCACAAGACGTGTATCAACGCAATAATTATGACTACATTATGATATGTTTTGTAAATAGCAGCTTAACAAATTCATGTATTATTTTGAATGTATAACTGTTAGAGCGGAATGTTAAAGTACAATATTTATAATTATAACAACACACATTTTAGAATAATTTATTTATTGGCGTATGAAACTACCTTAATAAAGAATAATTTAGATCTGATTTGTTTGTTGTTTTATAACACTCAATTAGTTTAAGTAAATTTTTAACATTATTGGCTTTTATCATCTATTTAAGAGGGCGCATTAACAAAATAACTAATATTCAATTGATTGTAAAAAAAAAATACTAAAAAGAAGAAAACTCGTTAAAATTTAAATGTATGATATTTTTCAGTAAACAAATGCGGAATTTATATTGAATATATTGATTTTTATCTGTTTTGAACAACAGTAACAACTTTTTATATAATCTTGTTACAAACTCGAAATATCGTGAAATCGCTACAATTATTTTTAAGTTAAATTTTCACTAGTATTTCTTATCTTTTTTTTTTATCCTCTCAAATTTATTTATACGCACTCTTAAATATGCGTTAAACCCATCGGCTTCTTCATCTAAATATTGGTTTATTTATCAGCATACATACAAAACAATTTTGGGTGTCGTGCCCAGACGTTTAAAATAGGAATTTCAATTCAAGAACACTGAAATTTTTAATATACTTGTTAGTCACTATTCCATGGGGTCTGCAGTAATTAGCGATTGCGGCTGGGGTTAATGTAATAGCAAGATTATGCACTGTTCACTCAATAGGTCGCATTTCTTCATAAAAAAGGCCCCGGAGGGAAAGCAGACTCTGGTAGCGGTGGAAAATGCTGAGTTTAATCCTGCCCCGGCATAACAGAACGACTGCAAGACAGTGAGTAGATTATATGACGTACATGTTCATATTAAAAATATATATTAGACCACATACATTGTTCAGTCCTGCGAATCGTAAAAATCCGAATCAGAATTCGAATTCACTCAGGCATACGAATTCACTTCAAAAGCGGCATCTACTCAATCTTGAATTGGTAATAATGTGCCGTGGAATAAGTAAAGTGGGTTTCGAAATGACATAGGAATAGAATATCTGAGATACATGAATTACTCAATCTTGTTCTTTATTTATTTTTTACAAAAAATGGAATCAATAAAATTTCTCCACTAAATGACATGAGTGAATTCGGTTTAACCCACATAAGTGAGTAAGATATATTGGCTTCTTGAAGTGAGTGTCGGGCTAGCAGCGTCACTCTTCTCAGTTTCGCCAGTCTTCAATGAATTCTTGATCCATGTAGTTTGTCATTTATCAGCCCGTTACCAAAATAGGGACAAATAACAAAGTTTCGGAGACGAATGTGTCTTTGTAGCGCTGCTGGGCTGACTTCACTCTAGCAGCGCCACAATATATCTTCTAAATACACTCTCTACAGAAGCTCATTATTTTAAAATGTCACGTCCATTGGCGTAACTACAGGGTGGCAAGTCGGCAAAATGCCACGGGCCCCCAGTCAGAGGAGACTCCTTACTCCTGATAATTATTATTACGCAATTAGTAAAAAAAAATGAATCTCCGATGAATTTGCCACGGGCCTCAAACACTAGTTACGCCACTGGTCACGTCATTTTAGCATTCGATTCATACAACAGAATGCGAGAAGTCCTGCGAGTATTTGCCACTCCATGAGTTTACCGCCAATAATACGGAATAGTCTATTCCAATTGAATGTTATAGTGTCATATTTAACCCCACCTGTTTGTCTATACAAATTCTACTAAATTTCGTTCTAATGTCACAGTTAGCCCCCCCCCCCCCCCCCCCCCCTAACGTGGGACGTAATTTATGGATGGCCCCATTATAATGTTATCAAACCTAGAATCGGAATGATTATCGATCAAAGTTACATGTGTAATGTTCGGCAGTAGTGCACATGTCGGCCACACACAATTATACCTGAAATAACGTACTTATTATACCTTTGTAAATTGTCCATTTCGTCTTGGTCGATAAAAAGATGAAATCTTATTACGCGAGTCCTACAAAGCCGATACTTTATATTACTCTATTTTTTTAAAATGATTCAGCTTTACGATTAATAGGATCAAGCTCACGCAATATGAATAAATGATCTTCATATTATTATATTTGATCAATTCTGCATTGCTATGAAAAAAGTAAAAAATCCTTGAAAACTTCGTCATTCCTTTTAGGTCTTGGGTAACTCAGTGGTTAGAGCAGTCGCCCGTATTGCGAAAGGTCATGGGTTCGAATCCCACCTGAGAGTGCCAGGGACAAAGTGGATCTTTTTTTTTTCATTAAGAATAATCTTCCTATTCTATTTTTACACAATAATAGAGCACTACATACAGATCACAGAGACGGAGAAAATTCAAAAGTGACGGTCGACATGTTTGGGGTAACGAAATTGTCCAGAGGAAACTGCAAGCCGCTACGTATTATCAAATTCCAATTTTATGAATGTGGTATGATTTGTTTTATTATGTTTTGTCACAAAGCATTTATTTTTATGACATTACTTACTACGATGGCCCTATTAGGGGTGTGAGTGCCTAACTTTGATTTTCTGTAGCACGGCTTCAGAAAAGAAGAATTTCCTACGTTGACCTTAAATCCATTTTAGCCATTAAAGCTTCACTTAACTATGACGAAATTGGCTATATACAGATGCATATAAAATTAGATATTGAAATATATATAATGGTTGAGTCACACAACTAAACATGTTAATAAATAAATATTAGACATCATATACATTGTTCAGCCCTGCGATTCTATAAATGTGACCCGGCGCTACATGTCTTTCACTCGTGCTCAAATATATTGCCGTTGCACTCGCTCAATGCATATAGATGTCGCCATCTTAGCACGTTATGGCGATATTTCGTTTCATTTTAATACTTTGGCATATACTATAATAACGGAGAATGAATAATAATTGACAGCAGTATCACCAACTTAATCGTTCATTTCACAAAAGACGTTAATACTTAAACGACGTTAAAACTTTAATATTTATTACTATAAAGTGTAATTATATATCGCCATAACATCACTGTAGCTATAAAGTCAGTAAGGTTTTCTAGAAAAATTGTTTCGCTACACGTAATCGAATCTCACTAAAACACAAGATATATCGATATTATGCGCTGAATAGGGATGACGACCGGGTAAAAAAAATGCAATTCTATTTAGTCCGTCAGTCAGATAATAGAAAAATATTAGATACGTATTTTTTCTGTTACTTAAATTTAACAAGAAATAGCTTAGATAACGGACATTAAAGTTGCGGAGTGGGGGCTCGCTACGTCACATTTGAGTAGAAAACGTACCATAACGTGACGTCATGCGAAATTTCAACTCCATGTAACGCCGTAATTTTATGAATATGAAAAAAATAAAAAAATACGTTTTTATATTTTTTAACACTCTACCTGACGGACAAACAAACAAAAATTAGTCATCATCCCTATTACAATGATTAAAATTATTATTATTATTATTCCCTTTAAAGCTGCCAAAAAAAATCGCGTTGTAGGGTTACGGCTTATAAATTACACCAGTGCGAAACTGAGCCAATAGCAAATTTTTTTTGTTTATTAGAATTTAATATGCAATTCTCAACCTTATCGCATATAATATATAAAAAAAATCTCAACTAATCACTTCTATTTGTTTTTCAGCATACAAGACTAATCAAGAGTATTGTGTATATTATTAATTTATAATATATTATTATAATAAATTGTCATTTTCGATTAATCTAGTCAACTTGGGGATATTTTGAACGTCATTAAAAAGACTTTGTTATAGCATTAATCAATTTTAATAAAACTGTACATGATTATATATTTGCTTTTTATCTTTGTTTACTATATATAGTCTTAATCGAAATATTATAATTTTCAAATGGACACGTCTCATTACGAAAATATGAATGAAAACAATGCCTATTATCTAAACATGGAATCAACTCGTAACAAAAATATTACTAAATTGTTCAAATCAACAATTGCACTGAAACAGCATGAGTAGTGTGACAAGAATAAAGACATTTCATTAAGTTTAAATTATTATTATGTACACTATATAACCTCCTTGCTGGGCGTCGATATTCCTAAAGCTTCTTCGTAACCAATTTTGGTTTCATGTTTATCTGAAAGAAATTGTATAATTTACATCTATTTCTGAATAACTCATGATCTAAAAAGATCTCCACTGTTGAAGCATTAGTGGCTATGTTTTAAAACTAGTCTATTATTTTATTTAATTGATTAATTATTAAGATAATGAAGTACTAAAACACCTGTGTTATGGAAATCTGAAATAACGAAGCACACATTGTTTCATTGAACAATATCTTGTTATTTATAGTAGTATTGGATGTTACCTTTCTTAGATGATTTCTTCTTTTTAGATTCTTTATCTTTTATCTCCTTCTTTGACTTCTTATGTTTTTCAGTCTTACTCTGCATATGGTTTCTGTCACGCTCTTCCTCCGTTTTATTGTTTACAGGAACGTGTTTGTTCTCAATCGGTGTTATATCGTCTATAAGTAGATTGCCTACGTCTACATTATTCTTATCTGTTTCGGATAACAGTAAATCTACATCTTTATTATGCTTATGTTTCTTCTCTTTCTTTTTCTTAACAGATTTCTCAGTTGAACTTTTTTCGGCGGTCTTATTCTTTTTGGACGCTTTAGACTTTTTAATAAGTAAGCCGCTTTCTGGAGATGGATATTGATGAATTCGAGTAGTGAGCAATTCTTCTTCGCGCAACGGTCTGAAATGATAATTATTTTATATTTAATACTTTTATATTAATAACTAGACAAGTGTTAAATGGTACAATAGAGTGAAAATTAACTATATAGTTAATTTGGACTTAATAAAGGTCTTCCTTCATTTGGACCTGTAGTTCATTCGACTCGATTCGCACTCTCGTTCTTTGAGTATCTTTAGTTCAATCGGTTCGGTACTCTAGTTCTCACTCAATTATTATAATCGCTATTTTAAATGTGTGTCATAAGGTTCATTTCGCAATTATTTACTTGAGCAACTTTCTCGCTTCCACATAGACTATTTATACATCTATCTGTTCGCTTCACTTATCTTTAATTGATAAAGTGAACTAATTACAATATGAAGGCGATTAACTTGAAGTGGACTACTTTAATTGAACGACTCATTCGAGATTGCCCAAGTCTATTACAAGCGTTATTATTTTATGAAAATACCCGTTAATTGCGTTAGTACGCAACGGGTCATCCGTCCAGTGTGCAAAAATGAATGTCGTTTCATGTATTTGTCAGTTTCTGACATCCTACACCCGGCAGTTACGCACCGCATCTTCTGTCGTATAAAGGCCGACCCTTAGTGTAGGGTAGTCTTGGGCTTAATAGTTCGCAACTAAGATCAAACCAGTTAGTACGCGGCTCCTAAACGAACTAGTTTTTTCTTGTAGTTCGTTAGTTCCTAGCTCTTTGCAGCAGGAGCAGTTTTAAAACGACGAACGATCTGCCTTTTATTGAATTATTTTAAGGCAGTTCGTTCGCTCGTTTTGATCCTGCTCTTGCTGCTACTAGATTATTGAACAAGTATTTGAATCAAAATGTTGGACACAAAACAACATATGACAAAAAAAAACAGAAATAAATATATTCATAACTTATTTTTTGCAAACTTTATATTTTTCGCTTTCATATTAACGAGACAACATTATTTCAGTCGACTTCACCTTTATTCATTCACGAAATAACAAACTACAGAACGGGAAATGGGCGAACTAGATCACATATCACGTCTATGGGAGACGGTTCTTTGAACCACTTCGTTTGCGAACTACACAAGACCAATTAGGGATTTTGAAGCATGACCGTCTCATCGTAGCCTATATATAATATGTATGAAAATATTTATGAAAGTCGTTCTTTTTGAACTGTAAGTAGGTACTAAATGAAATTGAATTTTGCCCCGCCCCTCTGACTCTGGCGTCCGGGGCAAGTGCCCCCACTTGCCTGCCCCTTAATCGGGGCCTGATAATAGGTCGGTGAAGATAATAATGACGTATGAGCGAGTGTAGAGTACTCACAGGTCTAGGTCCAGGTCCAGTGCCCGGTGTGGGTCGTCAGGCGGCGGCGGCGGCTCCTCGTCGGAGGGCGCCGCCCCCTCCGGCAGTTCCCCCCCCTCGGCCACCGCAGGACGCGGCGCTACCACTCCCATACCACCGCCCTCTATACACGTGACATCAGCCTATTAGTAAGTGATGCAACAAATATACGAATACCATCATGTATTACAAAAAACGGGCCGTTTTTCCGCGACATCGCACGCGTCAATTTTAGCCTATGTCAACCGCGTATGATGTAGCTACATTAGGCAAAACACTGGAACTTGGCGCCCTATGCAAACACCGTAAAAAATCACAGCAACATAATAAACTAATGTAGTTACACCGATTAAACAGTGTAATTTTGCTAATGACAAAAGAAACTCCTTAGGTACTGGTGCTCTGAAAATTTTGTACCTTTAAATAAAGCGGAGCCATGACACATGTTCAAAAAACAAATGTATTTTTTAAGGTTCCAATAATTAGAACAAACAATTCTTTGCCTTGCCATGCCGCCCCCCAAATACGAGCGCCCTAGGCAGTCCCTAGTAGGGCTATGTTGATGGCCAGCATTGGTTATTATAATTATTTTTAATGAGGTACGCCATATTCATTGACGAAATTCCGATATCTAAATAGAGTATGTTATTTAATAGATTAAAAGATGTCAATCACACAATAACAGAGCCATCTAATGACTGGCCACGAAATCAAAAGACTTAAATAAGTACGCCATCTAGGAATTTCATAATTTATAAATAGGCAACTGTTTACGACTCATTTAACGGATGTTGCCGGAACGTCTTGTTTCAAGTCACGTGATACACAAACAAAAGACTTCAACTTTAAATTTTAATATAAAACGATAACTATGCGATTTTATAACACAAAATAAGAATTTCTATTATTATTTCAATGTAAATTTTAGTTTTTGTTCAGCATCATGTCGTGACTTATTTTTCACTACTTAAAACTACCCTATTATCTATATGAACAAAAAAACTGTGCTGCAAACAGCACAATAACGTTATAATCAATCGACAAGTGATGAAATATTATAATTAAAAACAGCAGAAAGCAGTCAGAATGGCTATCGTCTATCGTTTGTACGACAAAAATATTTCGCTAGTTTTCTTTAAACTGATTACATAATTTATTTGTTATATTATAAGGTGTCTATTTCGTAGTTACCTTCACTTTCAGATTCGCTGGTGTGAACCGCCTTTTTACTCTTCCGTTTCTTAGACGATCGCTTCTCTTTCTTTGTTTTCTTCGAACTCTCTCTCGTCATTAAGTACTTATCAGATCTCTTAGCTGAAAGAAAGTCAATATTTACAACATGGTACTTTAAGGTAACTTTATTGATAACTAGCTTTCGCCAGCGGCGTCGCCCGCGTGGACCCTAGGGAAATGTTTAGTGGGATAAAAGTGTTAGCTGACTTAGAAATCCTATTATCTAAGGCGGTCAATCTATATAAAATGAAGCGACAAAATTAAGATACAATTAAGCACCAATTATTTAAATATGTTTGAGCATTCAAATATCATATATCAATGGTCATCATGATCAGCCCTTTTACGGCCCCACCACAGTGAAGGGGCACAGGACTTCCTTGTGGATTTTAAGGCCGATGGGCCATAACCCTCCACACTGGCCCAATGCGGTTTAGAGAGTATAAACGACTGCACATACAGCCGAGACCAACGGCTTAACGTGCTTTCCGAAGTAAGGAGTAGCCCGAGATAATTTTTTGGTCACTCATCTTGTGATTGACCTTCGTGAAAGTTGCTTAACAATTATCCACCACGCCATCGAGCTATAATATCAACGCATAATTAAATATATAAATGTGTACATACTGTGTATTTGCAAGGGCACTTCTAGCGCTATCTCCGCTATAGGTATGTCGTCCTGTTGATACGAACGCGGCGAGTCATCCTTCAGATAATGTGGATTATTCGCTTGCTCTTGCCGCCGAGCTTCACGTAACTACGATCAAATATTATATCTTTTCAATAAAATATATCCACACTACGCAAGATGGCTAATATTTGTTTGTAGATCTATACTAATAATAAAACTGAAGAGCTTGTTTGTTTGATTGAGCTCTAAAATCTCAGGAACTCCTGGAACGAATTGAATCATTGTTTTTGTGTTGAATAGTCCACTTATCGAGAAAGACTATAAGTTATATTACATCACGCTATGACTTATAAGAGTGAAGCAGCAACGAAAAATGCTATAAAAACGGGAGAATATTTTAGTTTTTTTAAGTTTTCCTGGCGTGCGCTGTTTAAACGGTGATAGTTATTAATTTACATACAAGTACTGAACAAGCTTTAATAAAAATTTACAATGAATATTAAAAAAAAATTGAGCTTATTCAGCTGTACTCAGGTTTAGCGCTTAGCAAAAACATTTAAAGATTCCTCTGTATATTGTTTATTATTTTTTAGAGACTTATGCATTCGAGGTGTGGTACTGGAGGCGAATACTAAGGATACCCTGGGCTGCCAAACACATCGAAAAAACAAACAAACCCGATTGTTCACCGTTTCCGTTAGCGGCCGCGCCCGCGTATTTTTGCCGTTCTTCATCATTGTTCCACTTCTATTAGGCATAGTGCGATGTTATAGCCTGTAGCTTTCCTCAATAAATAAGCTATGCAACACTAAACTAATTTTTCGATTCGAACCAATAATTCCTGAGATAAACGATGCAAGCATAGAGAAGCTTGTCGCGGTTGGCAACACTAAAGGCAACAACCAAGAGGCCGACCACCAACCTCCGTTATGAAAGGCCTACTACAGAGATAGAGAGAGACTGATGTTTATTACTGTTTTGAAACTTGCGTTCATTGTACCCTAATGCCTTAAATAATCAGTATTTGTAAAATGAGTCAGTCTTAATACATATATCAGACAAGACGCGCGTTATTTTAATAAGACTGCCAACAAAAAAAAGTTTTTCCATAATACTACTAGTGGTTCCTGTAGTAACTAGACCGTAAGCTGACAAAGCCGGTTACTTCGAAACTAGATTTGCACCGAAAAGTGGTTACACCGAATAACGAATATTATTCGGTTTAACTTTTACCAAATCAAATATTCATTATTCCGCCTTATTCATTTTAGCATTTCGTGATTTACTGCGTAAACAAATGTTAATTTGAAGTTTGATTGCTTTATTTTATTAGCAAAACTAGAATTTGTTCAAAATTCTAGTTTTGCTTTTTATCCGTATACTGTGTTGCGTAGCCAAGAAAATAGTAATACTCGAAACGAATATATTCGGCGCCAAAATCGAATAATTCGGCCGAATACAAATAGTGAAAAAGATGCCGAATACCAAACGAATATTCGGCGCATCTCTATTTGTAACCATGAACTTTGAAGTGATATATCATACCATTTGCAGTTCCTCGGGCGTGAACTGTGCCGTGGGCCGTGGATCTGGTGGCGGCGCTGCGAAAACGGCCCCCTCGCCCTCCTCCTCCGAGCTAGAGCTGTCCGACGACCAGCGATCACGTGATATCCATTGGTCCAAGTCAAGGCTGCGACAATATACTACAATATTAGTCACGAAATTGCACAAAAACTAAAATTTGCATCGTAGTTAACATAGAGATTCTGATTTAGTCTTAAATCGCGATTATCTTAATATTGAAAGTCGTGACTCTTTTGTCGGTGTGTAACGTGACTTGAGACACGACCCGTCATTGTGTGACGTAGCTGTGACGACGGGTATTAGATTTATCATAAAGATATGCCTATTAATTATAAATTAAATTCCTAGATGGCGCTGTTCTAAGCTTATTTATATCTTTATAGATGGTATTGTTCTTGTTTTTTCGAAATATTTTAATCTTCTACTCTATGTATCTGTTTGTACATAACACTATAACGTCTTCAATATGAGGGACAGCATTTTCGCGGGTACAGAAAAAGTTTAAATTTTGATTTAATTTTAATAAATAAATATTAGTTTTATGACTTTTTTAAATTAAAATAAACAGTAACAGAAAAGTTCATTTTTTACATTGACCCGACCAGGAATCGAAACCGACATCGATGGCGACATCTTAAAAACGGTATGCGAACCACTCGGCTACGGAGGAAACATTATGATATGTCAGTTATTATTAACTATAAAACAATATTTTAGTATTTATAACCACAAATACATAGTTTTTTTTACATTAAATGAATACATATATGCCGTGACGATTCAAAAAGTTAAAAGCTCAGCAATAATTTGATAAGCAAACTGCGCATTTTCAGCGTCGACCTATTTTACTTCAAGAATTAAAATTGAAAACAATACTTACTCAGGAGGCATGGGTACTTTTTTCTGTGCTTTAGGCGCCACTGGTTTCAATTCACCGTCGAATAGATCTACAAGTTCTTCTATGAGGCCACCACTGAATCCTTTCGGTCCTTCCCCATTCAATTCGCAGCCAAGGGTCTCATTTTCCAAGCCATTACTGTGAACAAAGTAAATTTCAAATAAATAGAAAATTATCATAGGGATACAGGGGCGGACTACTTTTGCCTATCGTGCCCACATGACGATGGTGGGTTCAAAGAACTAAAATTACTATCACACCGCGGCGTAAAAAATCTCTGTTCTTGATTCAGCAGCGTTGTAATATCACGTATTGGCTCTGTTCGTGATCCAGCAGCGTTATACTCACGTCACGTAGTGGCTCTAGTCGTGGTCCACAGTGTTACACTGTTAGCTACTGCTGGTTACGGCCCAGCAGTGCTATATTGTCAACTCCTGGTTCTGGGAATGGCCGAGCAGTGTTATACTGTCACCTATTGTTACTGATCGTGGTCCAGCAGAGTTATACCGTCACGTACTGGCTCTGGTCGCAGTCCAGCAGCATTATACTGTCGCGTACTGGCTCTAGTCATGGTCCAGCAGTGTTACACTGTCACATACTGGTTCTGATCATGGCTCAGCAGTGTTATACTGTCACCTATTAGTTCTGATCGTGGTCCAGCAACGTTATACCGTTACGTACTGGCTATGGACGCAGTCCAGTAGCATTAAACTGTCGCGTACTGGTCTAGTCGTGGTCCAGCAGGGTTACACTGTCACCTACTGGTTCTGGTCATAGCCCAGCTGTTATACTGTTACCTACTAGTTCTTATCGTGGGCCAGCAGCGTTATACCTCACTTACTGGCTCTGGTCGCGGTCCAGCAGTATTATACTGTCGTGTACTGGTTCTAGTCATGGTCCAGCTGCGTTATACTATCACGTACCTCTAGTCATGTTCCAGCAGCGTTGGGGAAAGTGGGAAATTCATTAGACGGGCATGCCTGCGGGCATGCTTGCTAGACCTCATTTAGTAAAGGGTGGACAAGTCTGGTTCGTGTACATTCATTACACAGATCTATAGTAACGAAATCTGGCAGGCATGTCTGTAGATTTGCCCGCGAGCATGCCCGTCTAGTGAAGTCCCCGCTAAAGACAGGGGCGTCGCCAGTTGATTATAGAGAATAAGCTACGTATCTATTGTAGCTAAAATCGAGAGCACATGAAGCTTTTTACTCTTGGACGAGCTTTACATTTACGGCAATTGTAATAACAACAGCACAGAGTCCAATTTGTAAAGTTACATGATCTCTTGACTGTAGAATAAATTAAAACTTGTAAATTTATTTGAAAAATATAATGAAAATATTTGGGGGGGAGGGGGGGGGCACCACTTCCCTTCTCCCGTTTCAACAATAACATAGAGCAGAGCGTAATTGAGTGTAGGAATAGAATTCTGTCACATCTACCCCCTTGGCCCTTAGCTAAAGACATACCTCTGGTCGTGGTCCAGCAGCGTGGTGGTTGGTGGCAGCGAATCATCGCTGGGGCTGAGTCGTCGCATCACTAGCGCGAGGAGCGCGTGAGCGTTGTGAGCTCTCTCCTGCACCTCCATATCTTCGCTGCAGAGCAGCGGCCGGAGACCTGCTAGAGCCTCGCGGACTACCTTTTGTATAAGAACGAGACACACTCATTAATAAATATTTTGTGCAAAATACAATGTGTGAGGGTTATGGCAACTTATAAAATTGAGATCCAACACGTATAAGTAAGTGTATTATAGTAAGCAATTAAAGAGACATTGCTCAGCGTACATACATCGGTGGCCCCAGAGCCAACAGAAATAAAAAAAGAGATATTTTGGATCACTGATAAATTACAAATTACAACGTAGTTTATTGTGCCACGGACAATAATTTCTAGTACACTACGGGTATATAAGCCATATATTGTTTTTTTCTTATTTCCTATATTAACATGCTAAAAACGAAAGACAAAATCGTGAATATGATGGTAAATCATATAATAAACGCAAAATAGTTTTTTTCCAAATACTACAAAATTTTTTGTTATATATTACTGTACTAGCTATATGACTTAAATGTACTTTTCTCTCTAGAGAACCATTTAGTTTGATAGTAGCATTCAAGTAAATCCAGTCCGAGAATTATCTGTACGAAATTTCATCTTAATCCGTTCAGTGATTTTTTCATGAAGAAGCAACAAATATCAAAACTAACAAACTTTCGCCTTTATAATATTAACTTACAGACAGAGCCGCAGTAAGTTCCCCTCTCGCTTCATAGATGGATAACAGTTTGGCGGTGAGTTTGAGGGCGGCGTGCACGCAGACAGCGCGCGCGCGCATGTGCCCGCCCCCCACGCCCGCACATAATAAAAGCGGAGATACAGATTCGCGCATCACTTGCTCTTCCCTAGTATAAACATAACATTTAACATTAAAAATCATTCCGATTTTGTCACATATAAAATCTATTATCTAATTAACCTAATAAACTAATTTAATGAACTAGCTAATTTTTATCCATTTTTACAGTTTCATAAGGAAAACGGAATTATATAACAACTCGTATCTATCTGTTCGTCTTTCATTATAAACATGGAGGCCAATTTAAAGGAATAAAAAAAATAAAATATAAATATATTAAACATAATAATTTCTGTAAGGTACTGTGACGCATAAACGATTATCATTAACTTTTTATTATCGAATAATAATTTACAACTTATAATTAACAGCTTTGCGCCTTTAAACCTCAACGGTTTGATTAGGCGCTGCACATTCTCTTAAGGCGCAGGTACTCGCGATTTTTATAATATAATAAGCAACACTTATATCATACATTAATCAAGGTAGACGCTTATAACATGACCGTGCGCACTGTAACATACTGCAATAGCTACTGTGTAATGCTATATGACTGCAATTACTGTGCGATATTTCTTTTTCTTCTTTATGACAAACAGGTATCTTTGCCGCGTTATAAAGGCCGGTTGCAAAAGAAATTCAATAGGAACGAATATTATTATTGCATCAAGTAAATATATAAACACTTACTGACAATACTCTGCTAGAACGTAAGCTGCGGCATATAGGACCTCTCTTGTTGCGGGCCCGGGGGGCGAGGCGGCCGCTCGCGAACATATCGCTGAACATTCGCGCGCCGCGAACGCTCGCACGTCTGCCACACGAGCACCTACTTCTGTCAACTGGCCGGCTATGATGCAACCTATACAAATACAGATATAGAAATAATACAGACCGAGTATCTCTTTCTATTTATCTATTTGATTAGGATTCTGTCTTAATTAGAAATTGAAATGGAATGCATGTGGTACTACGCGAGAACAAAAACGCGTTAATAAAACATGAAAAAAAAGGAAAAATTCCACGATATATCGATCTGATATGTAACAATTATAGTTTAATTTTGATGTCTTATATAATTATACACTTGCTTATAATCTAAACCACGTTTTTTTCTTATCGTTTTTCTACTGGTAATTTACTGATATTGTATTCGTTGACTATTTTTACTAGTAATTACAAATTAAAGTTAGTAACTAGAATGCCAATGCCGATATAGGTTGATTCAGAAAGTGAAAGATCAGTCTATATTTTCAAACTTTATCTTTGCGTTATTCTATAAGTATTACGGTAATGATTATCATGATATAACTTTCGCGAATCTTTGTATTGAGCCCTTTAATTTGATGCCCATATGTATTTGAAACAAAAAAAATACAATAAATATAATGGCGTTGCACAGAATACTTGAGCTACTAAGATAAATCTAACAATACCCCAATTATCTGAAACCGTTCAGCGATTCTGAAGATGTGAGGAAATAAGAAATTCATTAAATGTTGTCATATCTAAAATAGAATCTCACCGTGTTTCGCACTAGTTTCCATTTCGGTGAGCTCCGCTAGTACAGTGACATACCACTCGAAGTCAACCACATGCTGATAGTTGTTCTGAGAGCATATTTCGATCATGCGTGTGAGCAACTCATCCCGGTACAGAGTACCTTCAGCGCGCTCCATGTGGACCATTAACTTTTTAACTATCTCCATTAAGTTCTTCTTTGATACCTAAATGAAAAAATGCATTTACTACAATTGTTAATATATACAGTTTCTTAAACTGAATTTAAAATATGTGTTTCGAAAATATTCTCCACATTTAAGTTGCACAGTAACATGTAATAAATGATTATTATTATAAAATAGTGATTGCGGTAGTGTGGATTTAGCAGTACATTTATCCCTTGGGAACAGTTTCGTGGGATTAAAAGCGTTAATTCTGGTTTAGAATTATTTGTATACCAAATTTTATCCAAAGAGTAGCAAATGTAGATACATCAGTCCTCACAAATTCCCAGAAATATAGCCAATTAACCAGAATGACTAAGATAGAAAAACTTATATTTAAAACTTGCGCTGACCTGTAGCTTTGATTTATCTATCTGGGGGCACGGAAGTGCTCCCGCCAAGTCGAGCAAAAAAGTAAAAAGGGTACGACTGTGTCATTCTTTTCTCGAAGCCATTCGGGCCATTTTTGACCACCTGTTACTTCGTTGTGGAGTAAACTAGAAGCCTAATTTTTTTGTGACCAAGAGGCATCACAGAAATGGCGGCTTTGCGGGAAATTTTGAAAATTTAATTTATTTTTAGATTTCAAAAGTTGTAATAGGGATCTATTGACGTCTTCGGAAAATTATTGCGGCCTCGAACAATAAAAAAAAAAAAAACCGAACTGTTCTTATAATTTTGATGAAGATTATCTTTGTTTTAATTGATATCGATACAGCAATTATATTGACAGAGGAAGCACACTATATACGCTATATTCTTTGTGATTCGCATAGTTTCATCATAAGAAGAAATAACAAACAAACTTACAATGTAAAATTTTCATAGTTATATAGTAAAGTTACCTGCATTGAAACAAAGCATTTTAGGGTTTTAAACCACATAATGACGAGTAATAAGAAGACGAACGATCGTAAATTTCATTCGCCCCTTAAATAAATCCTGTTTTTTGTAAGACATAAAAATAAGTACTATTATTTATACACATATAAATGAATATACTTTATTGCCCAGTAAAACATAAACATTATTAAAAACATCGATGCAAAAGGCGGCCTTATTGCTAAGGTAACAATCTCTGCAAGGCTACCCTTGACTAAAATCAGCTATACCGATTGAGTAAAGAGACTGCGGGCAAGTGTATTAAAGAAAGATGAATGAGAAAATTCATAAAAATAAATACACATACTAATATAATTTAACTATCGTTATCGATTCGCGATAAATACTTCAAATCTTTAACAGCTTGTCAGTTATTGTTGTTAATATAACCCAATATGTTATCATTATCAAACAATGAACACGTAACATTATACAATACGGACGATTAACAGCTACATATCTATTAAAACGTAAATAATTACAATAACATATAAACAACAGATGTTTATAAAATAACATCGTATCACGTATTCATTCAGTTGTGAGACGCGTCAATTATTTTAAATCTGCATACTTTACTTTCAAGCTACAGACAATGTATACTTATTAATTAGCATTTATATACGATAAAAATTAACCAGTAATACCATAATACAACTAAATAGAAATATGACACTTTGTGCCATAATCTATACTGATAATGAAGCTGAAGAGTTTGTTACTTTGAACTCTATAATCTCAGGAACTACAGGAACGTATCATTTTTTGTGTTGAATAGTCCATTTCAACACAAAAAACGATACGTAAAGTAAGAGCGTGATGCTATAGCCTTTACTTATATATTATTTCTTTAATGCATTTTTTAAGTACACGAAAATGTTATTTAGCTCAGCTATTGATTACTAGATGACACTACTATACTTTTAAAAAGGGGTTTTGATTTTGATGTTTGTAATCTTTAATATTTTCCAATTGTTATGAAATTAAGTAGCTTTCGTTTTGAATTTTGCGATTTTTCCAATAACATAATTTTAATGGGGGAATTGTTAATCATACGAAAAAATTTAATGTTACATTTAGCTGTCGCTACTGATCCTTAGATTACGCTACTGTACTATTGTAATCATTGCTTTTTTTTCGATTTTTTTACAACAAAATAGCTTTCGTCTCAATTTTGCAATTTTTCCAATAATATTTTTTACAGGAGTACTATTAAGAAAAAATGAAATGGCGGATTTGTGCGAGAGCGCTAGGTTTCAATTCTAACTCATACTCTCTCAGTCCTCCCACTGTCTATGCACAAACTTTGAATAATAAAGAATTGAGGTGTAAAGGGGAAAAAGTTTTAGATAAAAGTGGTGTGCTGTTGTGTTTACTGTAAATATTAATTAATGTAGTGCATAAAACTTACCATTCCATACAATAATCCTAGAGCCCTCAGTCTAATAGATTCATCTTTATCGTCCAAGCATGCTAGCACAAGATCTTTGTGGGCTTGAACGGACTTAGGGTGAGACTTGAGTATTCGTGACATCGCCAGAAGACCCAGATACTTTACTAAAGAAAGAATTAAACTTGGTTAAAGATCGATTCATTAACTACAGTTTCTGCTCGTTTTTAGGGTGACGGAATAGAAAATAATGGAACTCTATTAGCAAGACTCACGTTTCTGTCAATCTGTCTGTCATACCTAATTTATTAAGAAACTTTACCGGACCAATCGCGTTGAGGAAAGTCTATTACTCAATAGACGTCTTAAGTACGGATGATTTTAGAAAAATATCGACTAACAAACAAAATAAGTCTCTAGGAAAAGAGCTATATTTACATTACTAGCCTTTCGCCAGCGAATGCGCCCGCGTGATATAGTTTTAAGTCCAGAAATGAGAAAATTCCATACAAAACTTTCATCCCCTAATTTACCCCCTTAGGGATCGAATTTTACAAAAAACTGTCTTAGTGAGCACCTTTGTCCTAAAAAAAATTCAAAATTTGAAACTCCTAGGACTTGTAGATTTCGTGATGATTGAGTGAGTGAGTGACCTTTCGCTTTTATATATATATAGATAGATATATTACAGAAAAAGCTATAAGAAGCATATACTTTTAAAAATTAACTAATTATATACTAAGTCCATCTGGCACCTCTCCAGATTATCTTATAAAGGGAAGATTTATTTAATGTCGTCCAACAACGTAAATAAACTTTTATAGAAGATAATATGCATATGAAGAGCTCGATTGCATGAGGTGAGATTAGTCTGTTGAGTGTGCTTTTGGTCTGTTATGCGAAAGTTAAGCAACTTTCGTAGAGATCGATCATAGGATGGGTGACCAAAACTATCTCTTGAGTTAAGCCGTTGGCCTCGGCTGCATCTGCAGACGGTAACCCACCAAATCGCAATGAGACCGCGTGATGTCCCGTTCACCTTATCTGAATTCTTTCAAAGACAAAATCCATGGCTCAGCAATGAGTGACATTAATAGTCTTATACGCATATCTTACGGTTCTGGTCGCTGTCTTCAATGAGTATTCTAAGTTTCTGAACACAAAGCTGCACAGATGCGGCGTGGCCCGGCATACCGCTGCTGATGCTGATCAGCACCGCGATCACGGTGTTTATGCACTCGTACAACAACGACATGGCCGATGTGCTAACAACAGAGGTTCACTAGCTGCATTTTTAGAAATTTACTACTGCTAGTTACCTAACATTTGTAACAATTTTATTCTTTTGGAGTCTTATAAATAGAAAAATCTAGAGTTCATTCCTTATGTTGCATTTATTAATATTTACTTGAAAATATCTACTTTAAAATTTTGACATGGTCATAAAAAATATTTTAATCACACTATATACACATAGAAGCATGTAAACTATGCAATTTCTTTGAAATATATATGTGATTGCAACATTTTGGAATATTTTTGATATTAAACATATAACAAAATAACTATTTGTACAAATATTATTTTAATGTATTTTAAAAGCTGAATGCTACTTTATATCTATGTGCTATATGTAAACCAAGCCTTGTAAAAATGAACATATAATAATAAAAAGCAGTGGAAGCCATAAAAATATCATAACTTGTAATCATTTATGATACTAGAGCTATTATCATCATGTTTTTTAAGTTGTATCATTCTCTACTTCCCTTCACCCCATAGAGACCAAAGTATTATATTTAAAATTACATTGACAAGGATTGTAACTAACTCACCTATGTATTAAATTAGTTAATGGTTCTATCAGTTTCTTGCCAAGTCGAGGCTCTAATGGGGTTAAGGCACCAAACTGCAACAAACACAATGACACTACATAAAACTAGCTCATGAGATGATTTCAGTTGTACACCCCTCCTTCATTCAGTATCATTGTGTATAAACACCTGATAATATGGAGACAAAAACTTTTTGTTAAATATTACTGATTAATATCATGTTTTTTATGGTTATAATTCCAGATTATTTAATGGTATGTCACTGCAGCAAAAATAATAACAAAATGTGATATGTGCCAATCCAAAAGTGTTCCTTTTATAGTGAATTAAATTTTGGTTCACATACAAAATGTGGAACTGCTATTGGACATAAGAAACATCAGTCACTATAGCAATAACATTATTTGTATGAATGTCGAATGTGTGGGTATTTGTAGATTTGTAACTAATATATCATAATGGTGAGGCAGGTGTAGTGAATTCGTCTAGCAGCTAAGCTTCTTAATAAGCTTTACTTCCGATACCTGCAAATTAGATCTATCAGGCTTTGTGTTATCTTTCTTCCGATATCTGGTTCATAGTGTGTCATTAAACCAAACTGTGAAGAATTAATAATATTGTATGTAATACTGTATCTACAGATAACAGAAATAATTTTATGTTTTTTTTTCGACAGATGCACTGTATCTAGTTTCATTAAGTGTTAATAATGAGCTGTATATATATCTTCCAAATACAAATATTTAAAATCTTATACATATGTGAAGAATAATTAAATTGATTTTATTTTTCTAAAATTAATTAAATTATTGTCCACATATAAGAGTATTCAAGGTAAAAAAAAATCCTTTTTATTGAAAGAATAGAAATTGTTATATAAACAGTCCGAATGAAAACTGTAAGTCAGTCACTTGTAAAAATATTATCAAAATATCGAATTAATTTTAACTGTTTACATACCAGTTTAATGATCTTGATAAGCATCCAGTTGTTGGTAGATGTAGTCATCAGTTTAAAGAACACTGGAGCCAGGGAGAGGTAATTTTTGGGATTTTTCCTGGCTAATTCACACACTACATTTACAGCAGCTGATTGTACACCTACAAATATAAAGACAATAACATAACCATGTGCATTATACTCCAAGGTATTTTGTTTTGATAAGTTTTTAGCAAACCAGGATCTGGGTCCTCCAATTTCTCTTTTAGTTTTGGGAATGCAGGTCTCAGTGCCTCTGGATACCTTAAAAATACCTTGTACATCATAAGCACAGCCTTCATTCTCAAATAAGGTTTTGTTGAACTCATCTGTAAAAACATGTTCAGTTATCTTGTAAACTTTGTTATAGGATTACTTTACAATACTTTAGGCTTCTTATTACAAGTAATCCAAAAATCTAATAATAATAAAAGAAATAATAGGTTTTATTAAATTGGTAAACACTTCATTTCAAAATAGTTGTCATAAAATACTCTTAACATAATTTCATGACTTTTATTCTAGTTATATATAAATCGTAAAATAATTATCATCATTGGTACTTGTAAATTAATGAATATAGTTTATGCACAAAACAGATTTGAACTTTAATATAGCATTCATATAGAAAAACATTAATCTTTTTTTTTTAAGCAACTGCAATGCAAACTTTGATTATATATTTATTTTAATTGGATAATAACTTACCAGTGTCATGATATCGTTTGCAAGATCTCTAGCTAGGTCATGGGATATAAAGCAGCTCAGACCACTGAGTGCAAGTCCAGCTTCATACTGGTTTTGAGCATTCAGATCTTTCCTTATCATATTAGTAGTAAGCATCAATAATTCAGAATCAGCATGGAATGATTGACTAGCAGCTAAGTAACCAATTCTCTTATAAGTAAACTTATTAGAGCTCATCACTTCTATAATGTTGAATATTGCCCATGATATGTCATACCCCAACATTTGAAGCTAAAAAAATATTTTTTATGAATCAAATATTACCGAGAAGATAAAATTCATATCTGTCCATCTAAATAATTTGTTACCAATAATTATATATCCGTTTCATTTAAAAAATGGAAACATTTAAATAGCGACATTGTTTATTGAAATTCGTTATACTTACATACGTGAGTTTAGCGACAGCATTAGCTTTCACTGCTATGTTATCCTGCCTTAATTCTACTTTGATTTCTTCCATGCATTGTGCTATATATTTAGCCTATAAATGGGCATATATTACGTTAGAAGTAGACTAATATGTAACAAAAATGTAGTAGATAGCAAATTTATCACATAAATAATATATATATGTGAAATAAATACCTCGTTATCTTTATTATTTCGTATTCCTCGGACTAGATCCGTGAGATTTTTATCGAACATTCTCTCAAAGTTCCCCTTAACTTTCTTTAAAGCCATGACGACAAAATATATGTTTCATGCATCAATCGACGAACTTCATTTAACTTCTATATACGTGAAACCACATAAGTAAAACCGTAAAACATTAATTTTCTTTCAATGAAAATTATCAAATGTCAAATATTTAACATTGCCTGACATTTCTCTCACTGTGTTATGTTGGCATTAGGGATGTGAAAAAAACCGATTAGAAACATCGATGTTCATAAAAAAGTGGTTTTAGACTTTATTTCTTCAAACAAAAATACAACTAGATGTAGCTCGAGTTTGAAATAAAAAGTGATTGTGAAGCGCCAATACATTCTCTACAACATTCTTAGATATTCAACTAGAAGGTTTTGTCTTGAAGGTGGATGTTAAAAATACTTAGGTAGGTAGGATATGTCCACCCTGTTAACACAAATAAAAGACAAAACACCATCCATATACAATTTTCTATGGCGATGTCTTCACCGTCTTCATCTTCTTTTTTAATTAATGACTTATCTGCGCATTTCGCACAATTCTGCCAATGTCAAGTAAATAAATTAATTTTTACATGTAAAATGAAAATGAAATGAATGAAAGATGGCCTTCTTTACCGTCGAAATTGATTTATAAAAACTACCTTTTGTACTCTTCCGTAGAACGTCAACAAGGAGACTCACTCGGGCAGGCAATTTTTGGTTTATCTATTAATCCAATTATTTCTAATCTAAATTCAAAGTTCAATGTGTGGTATTTGGATGATAGAACGTTAGCAGGAGAACACGAATCAGTTTTTCTGATCAAAAATATATAATCGAAAATTTTGGCCCAGAACAAATTTAAGTAAATGCGAGCTCTATAATTATTACCAGCAAAGTCAATGAAAAAGCTTCAGGAATCAAGGGACTGTTTAAAGGTCGCCATATTATAGTGAGGTGTAGGGTTCGAACGATACTTTCGATACCGAATAGGTATCGATACTTTCAAAAGCGAAACTCGATACTAAGTACTCGATACTACAAAATGGTAAATACTCGCAAGTACTCATCAAAATTGCTGGTATCGAGTATTCTTGCTAAAGAATATATACTATAGGCGTTTGCATTTGACGTTTCAACTTAAATCTTATACTTTTACTCTTTGGTTTTTATTTTTATACTTTTACCCTTTTGGCTGCCATAAAAATAATGTATGACTGAATTGTATAAATGTATGGAAGTATTGGATCGGTTTTTTTTTTCTTTGTTTTTTCTTTTTTCTCTTCTTCCATTTACTTTGAAATGGAAAGGCAAAGGCAATTGATTTTTTTAATAAACTATATTTTCGTTATAGACATTTTTTTTTTAAATTTTATTACGTTTCCCAAAAACAAATATTTTATAACAATATTTCATACACATTTTACAAATTTTTGTTTGTCTGTCCGTCTGGTAGATTGTTTTTTTTTTAGGATTAGCCTTCTTTAATGATGTCGATAAATACTCGATACTGAGTAGTATCGATACTTTGGGAGTGATACTTTTATGGTATCGATACCATGACCCTCGATACCACATGAGTACTCGGTATCGATACCAGAAGCCGATACTTCGAACCCTAGTGAGGTGCTTTTTAGTGTTTTTTTTTAAATACTTGTTCTTAGCATTTGTGTTGTGGTAATTGTATTTTTTTTTGTATATATTTATTTACATTATATTTTTTGTCATTACAAGTTTCATCTGAGCGATGTTGCCGATTTTATCTGTTTACTTGATACGAAATGAAGTAAAGTAACATAAAAAATTATCTGATATTATTATTTATGTACAAACCAACAAACATATAAGCAAATTTAAGCACGACTAGTACCGATTCAATATTAGTTCATTATAAGGAAGTTCATTATTTAAATATTTATTACTGAATCAACCAACTACTGAGGAAGTATTTAAAAAATAAAAATTAGTTCTTGAAATCAAAGTAGATGTCTATAGTGATGTGTGGATCTTGTCTATAATATTCATTCAAATTTTGTTTCTGACGTATTAAAAGTAAATTAAGAATCGAAAATTAAAAATATGACACCGTTTCGTGTTTCTTATAATATCTAACTTTCAAATTAATTCAATTTATTTGACTCGTAAGTTTAAGTTATATATTATATTAGGTGTAAAGGAACGATGTTTGGTTTATATGTCAACATTAGTGTTGAGCCAACTTATTGGTTGCTCGTAACTTCAATTGATAAATTCATTCGTATTCAGGTTTGGAATCAAGAACAAAACTGTTAAATAGCACTTGAGAAAGTCGAACACTTTGTCAACAGTTCGCAAAACTAAAGCAGGAGATCTTGTACTGAGAAGAACCGGCAAGAAACTCAGCAAGAGCTGCTTTTTTCTCCTTGTTTTATTTCACACAGAGAAGTCTTATTAGAATCTGACTTAATTAGACTATGAAGTCAATTTCCATTACAATATCAGAAATCCTACATACTCATTGACAAATCTACAATATACAAAATACATAATAAAATATAAAAAATACATTTGAGGGAACGTAACGACCAACCCACACGACACCACCACAGAGATTTTTAAGAGAGCATGACTACTCTAGGTACCTAATAAGTAGTATATTTCAATAAAACTGATTTTTAGAGTAGGTTGAGTAGAAAGTCAATATATTATTGACAATATTATTGTAAGAACCAAAAAGCACATACCCACCGTACGAATTAACTTAACACATGGCTCGACGTCCGCCGTCGACATACAAGATCAGTAGCAATAGTATAATAACTGTACGTGTCTATGTTATTTTGAAATTTAAAGCTATAACCTTGCTGTTCGTTTAGAACAGAAGTTGGACAGAAGACCTACTATGGCATAAGTATTTTATTTATAAAAACTATTTGGCGGTAATATTATTGTATACCGTAGCTAAATGCCACTTTTAATTATATCACAGCATTAATTCAATTGATTTCCATAAATTTAAAAAACCTCTATGCTCACTTCCATAAAGAAAACAAAGAAAAAAGAAATTTATTGAACGATTACTTTGTGTTAATCGAGTTGCTAGTAATGCAATTACTCGATCTAGTTAAATTTCAAGTCGATATTGATATAATCAGAAATATATTTCGGTTCGGTATATCGTTGCTTCCCTGAGATGTTGGCAGCACTGAATATGTCACTGCCAACTGTCAGTGTCAGTCGGGTAGTTTTGTCGTAGATTTTAGGAATTGACTATGTTTTGTATTAAATGTTTGGGTATAGTGAATTAATAAACTTTGTTTTTGTTATTAAAATTTTATTCAAGTATATGAGTAGCCGACAGCTCCGCACATAGCGCGCTTACGACTGCGTGACAGACGAAAGAATATTCAATTCTGTTTGTGCATATAAGTGATTATTTTCTTCAACAAATCGTTTTAACACTGTCAGAATCAAAAACGTATTTAAATAGCTTATTCGTCTGGTTAAAAAAATATTTATAATGATTATTTTCTTGAGCGAACTTCAGAAAGAACATCTTAATTTGGCTCATCAACATTCTCCGCAAGGTTGGGAGCCTTTTATACTTTTAAGCTTTTATGATTTGTATACTAATTATGTTACTAAACTTAGTGTATAACACTGTAGTTATTAATAATTAAAAACTGCAATAAATTATTTTACAGTTCTCATTGATTTTTGCAAACTAGTTATTGATTTTTTACATAACGGTATCAACCATAAAAAGCATAACCTAGCAGCAGGTATAGTTATTTTATCAAGTTTTCTATTAAATTATTTTGTAACTAACTCCTAGTATAATAACTTCTTGAAACTTTTTACAGATAAACTGAGCATATCTATAAATGATGTACAGAATCTTGTACAGGCTTTAACATATCTATTGGTGGAAGCATGCCAGCATAATGTATGTATTACTTATTGATTTAGAATCATGTCTTTAACAATTTTAATAGGTGATAGACCATTTGTTTGATTTACAGTTGTCAGAAGTAGATTTTAAGTCATCACTGGCTATAGCAGGCTTTGAAGGATCACATCAAGATGTATTGACTAAGTTATATGTTACTAAAAGGTCTGAGTTATCTAATGCACTATACCTCCTCCATCAAAAGGCTCCTACATATCAAGACTTTACTTGGCGTTTTGATATTCAGGTACATAAGGAATTTGAGAATTTCAATTGGCACAGTGATTAACATTATCAATTGAAATTCTCAGCTTATATAGTAGCTCAAATAGTAAGGTATTAATAAATAACTTGTTACAAAATAGTATCTACTCAAAGACTATAAAGTATGTATGGAATTATTTCTTTTTTTATATATACATGAGATGTTCACCTGTAAATGATTGTACATTCAGAAAATTTAAATTAAGTTAGTTTACTAAATCAAATTAATGTAACAATCATTGGTGTACTAAATAAATAAATAAATAAATATATGTATAGATTTCAAATTTATAGTTGTGTATTATTCTAAAAAATGATTATATTTTCCAGTTAGTATATAATAAACCTTTTCTTAAGATAAACTAAATAAATTAAACCAAATCCACATTCAAGGCTGCTGTGTATTATCTATGATAGTAAATCTACATTTTTAATATTTTTACTGTCTATAAATTAATAATTCGTTTTATCTGCAATTTGTTTTTTATTCAAATTAATCAAAGCAATTTCAATTCATAGATTGCAAGTCGGCAGTGTGAAGAGGAAATCAAACCAACAATCACCATGGATTTTGTATTAATGACATCTAAGGACTATAATCAAAATAAAGACTTCAGTAAAATGGCACTTACAAATAAAACTATATCACCAATACATATAAACTTGCCAATACAAGATGCTAAAGCTGCTAGTCAATGTCAAAATGTTATCAACCATGTATTGATGCAGTGTGACCTACCTAATTTAATTCATATGACAAATAAGTTAGAAAAAGCTTTAAAAGAATCAAAAAGTCAGCATGTACGCCAAGTGCAAAGAGTTTTGTAAAAAATAAACTTCTTATGGGCTTAAAGAGTGCCATATTGGGTGAGTAATATAAATGATATACACAATATATGTATGTTATCTTACTTACTGTAATATATATATTATTATAAAAATACAACTATTACATGTAAATAAAATTGTAAGAAACAGTTTTTATTATTTACCAAATCACATAAATAATCATCAGAACAAAAGGTGTCAAATAATGCATTAAACAAATGTTTTATTTAGAGCCTAGTTATATTTTTGACAAAGGGTGTCTGCTGTTAAAAAGTACAGTTTATATACAGGATAAGTATTGTTCCTGGGGATAATACTTTAGGGAGAATAGATGGACTGACCAGTTAAAACCTACTAATTTGTGAAGTGTCATAACCCTTTTTTACCTGCTGTCATTCTTCCCTTTAATTTATAGCGATAATAACGGCGACGATTTGTAAACGTTATGGCCTTGTAAAGCATGGAGGGTCATGGCCCATCCTCCTTAACCATCCATAAGGAAGGCCTAAGCCCCTGCAGTGGGGACGTAAAAGTGCTGGTGATGACCTTGTAAAGGGGCAATATCGTCGCAATTTAAATGAAAGTTTATATTTGTTTATCTGTAACACTATGTACCACTTCTTTCTGATTCTTTATAATTTCCCACAGGCGCCCCCTTATAGTCCCCCGCTCATTGAGCACGGCCTACTGGGTCGGCGAAAAAAGACAAGAACGGTGGGGGATTTTTTGTTTTCAAGTTTCTTCACTGTCAGCATGAATTGAAAGGAAACTCGACATGAAAAATATTATGGTGAAACAGACCAAATACCGATCACCAATATGCTCAGTCATTTGATAAAATTTTCGTTTGAGCATGTTTAAATGATAAGCTGGAGCTTATATGCGTGGTTGTTTCTTGCTGCAAGCGATAATAAGTCTAGAGGTGACCGAGCGCCTGTATCCGCGATGTTACATCACGATAAATCAACTTTTTCTGTTTGATGTTGTACATAGGTACTATATTGGAGTAAGTTTATATTGTTTATAATTCAGTGACATAAAATTAAAGTGATAAGCAGTAATATAATATTTTAAACATCAAAATAATGAATACTATTGTTCATTATTAATTAATTCATTAATAAAGAATACTATTGTTCATTATTAAATAAAATTAAAATAATTAGATCGATTTAATAAATAAATAAACAATAAAATTTCATTTTATAGCAGCACAATTCCTTTTCTACGTTATTATATTCGAATCTATCCAAACATGTACTCATAAGATTTTTGATTTCATAATAAAAAATAAATTATATTAAAATAAAAAAAATAGATTTTATATTTATACCATAGAAATAATTCGAGGTTTTCCGTATTTAACTACACCTATCGAGGATTTCCCATATTAAAGCAGAATTTTATTATTAGAGTTGAATTTAATATTTTTTCATAACTGGTAGAGTATGCCTAAGACATTAAGTCCGCCAATGTACTAACCACACAACTTAACCACAAATCAAATCAAATTCTTTATTGGCCTTGTAACAGATAATGTTTCACTAGGTAAGTCATATAAAAAAATACTATTTAGTTACTTGTCTTGTATCGCCGACCCGGACTACTTGCTTGTAATTTTCCCTAAATTAAGGTAAAAATTGATAAGTTGGTAGCACTAGAATGGAACGTAATGTTCAATCGGCTTAATTTCTCGGGAATCCCCGACTTTCCGACCATACAGAAACAATGTGTTTTTCTTGCAAGCAGTGCTCTTGCGCACCCACCCCATTACAGGGAATGCCACGAAGATCACCATGGGTAAAGACGGGTCTGGGTCAGGGATTTTAATTTAACTTTTTAATTTTTGACGAAGCAGAATACCATCATCTTATTGCTTGACATAAATGGATGCTCTTAAAAAAAAAAAATCGATTGTTTCAAAACAAATAAACACGGTAATCAGACGTTTAACGCTACGTTACTATGCTCTAGTTCCAACTACAGACATTAGTTTCATTTAAAAAGTAGATATACTATAAACAGTGTATAAATTGTTTCATTTTTGACGGTTCAGATAATTAGGTAAGTACAAATTCATTTTTACATCTTTACTACACACTCCTTAATACTTAAACTATACAAGATGTTAAAATAACAGGTTAATTTTTGAAATTGGCTCCAGGCTCTCCGCCCTGGTAACACCCTAACAGGGTGTCACATAATGGTTATAAGTATATAACTTCCTGTAATTGTTGTAACTTTGTGACGTGAAATGTAAAAAAATAAAATAAAACTATATTGTACGCTCTCTGCTATCTATCTACTAATCTTTATAACATTTGTTTGTATGTTTATACGTTTGGGCAGCATAACCTCTGAAATGTAAATAGCCTTGTAACAAAGTTTTATTGTAATCAATTTATTTTTAGAAATGTTTCGACTGACATAGATTTAATTTGTTGCATATTTTATTGATTACTACTAGTAGGTACAAATTGTCTGAAAACGGTGATCTCATAAAAAAAAAACCATCTGGGTCAGAATATAGGAAACGGAAAACAGAAAAATAAAAGGAATTTCAAAAAACAAAGAAGTTTATGAATATAGATATATAAATATATCACAACAAAAAATCAAGACTTCAATGTACAACAAATACATGTACTAGATGATGTTAAAATATAACGGTTCCAGTCCAGCTACTTGGTCACTTATTCGAAATAGCAAATTAATTTATTATATAATAACTAGTGGCCCACTGCAAACTCACTGTGATGATTATCCGAAAAATGATACAGGACATTTCTCTAATTCTCATTTCATAAAAAAACTAGCAAACAATGAAACAATTCAGCGTCGTTGGTTAGTATATGTACTCCATTTCCAAGGATCGAGTTTATTGTTTTTGTTACCGGCTGTTTGATAGTAGCTCAACGTCGAGTTTAGTATCTAAAGGATATAACGTCTGGAAATACTTGTCTGAAATGTGAAATACTCATGAGAGTAGCACTTTACATAACAAGTTTTACCTGTCATGTATTGAAACTGAACTACGTTTAAAAATAGGCAAAAACAATAGATTGTCAAGAGCAATATTTGATTAAAAAAGAAACTACAAGATGGAATAATGTTTTGTCTAGATTGATGTATATTACACTTTGTTTAGCTGAAAATGATATGGCGTTCAGAGGTACTTTTGACAAATTATATACGCCAAATAATGGAAAGTTTTTGGACTTACTAACCAAATTTGGCCCAGTTATGCAGGAGCACTTGCAATTAGCTATGAAAGGCGGTATTGCAGACCACTACTGCGGAAAAGACATTCAAAATGAATTAATTGCTGATGGGTGAAAAAGTGAAGTCAGAAATCATATCACGCGCAAAGAAATCAAAATATTATTCTATTATAGCTGACTGTACACCGGACATTAGTCACGTAGAACAACTTTCATTGATGATTCGATTTGTTGATTTATCATCAAATGACAATAAAATATCAGTAAAAGAGTATTTCGTAGAATTTTTACCTGTAAATGAGTCGACTGATTAAAAACTAACTTAAGTTTATTTAAGTTTATTATTGATGTTTTAAATAAATGCGGACTTAAATTGAACGTAGGGGTCAGGGTTATGACAACGGGGCGAATATGAAAGGTAAAAATGTTGATGTTCAAAAGAGAATTCTAGACACAAATCCCTTCGCTGTTTATGTACCTTGTGGCTGTCATAGCTACAATCTCGTACTATGCGATGCCGCTAAGTCTTCCGTAAGATCAGTCACTTTGTTTGGGGTACTTCAAAGGTTGTTTACATTGTTTTCAGCTTCTGTTCATCGATGGAAAATTCTAACCGATAGCCTGGGATTATATGCTATAAAAAAGCTCAGTGACACATGTTGGGAAGCGAGAATAAGCAGTGTCAAAGCAGTTCGTTATCAAATTAGTGCCATCTATGACGCTTCAATTACTTTGGCAATTGAAACACAGAAAACTGATGTTCAAGTCTCTCATGCATGAGGCTAGCTGAACAGTTAAAAGATTTCAGTGTTATAGGTTGTTTGGTATGACATACTTTTTCAAATTAACGTCGTTAGTAAATCACTACAACCGTCATATATAGATCTCAGTAAATGCACAGAAATATTGAAAAAATGCTGTACTTTCTTGGAAGAATATAGAAATACACTCTTTAAAAGCGCCAGGCAAGGAATTGTCTGAAGAACTGGGAGTTGAACTCGATTTAAGCATCAAGCTGACGATACTGCCGCAGGCGAGCCTATTGTTTCTTCTGAAAAAAAATGGAGGTAGAATTGTTTAACTCTCTCTTGGACACTACATTAATTTTAGTTAATGAAACCTTTGAACAGGTTAATAAGTACTCGGATTGCTGTCTTTTTTGTAAAGGTCGCAACTTACAGAAACTGTATCTAAATGTATGGATAGATTTGCGAATATTACTGACTATACCTGTAACGGTTGCCAGTGGGGAAAGGAATATCCAAGCTGAAGCTGATTAAAACATACCTGCGATCAACAATCTCTCAATATAGATTAACAAACTTAGCAACTTTGTCAATCGAAAATTATATTGCAGAAAACATAGACTTTGAATGTCTAATAAAAGATTTCGCCGGTAGAAAAGCTTTGTACCCATTGCCTTTTTTCGTATGTAATTGAATTGCAGTTAGATCAGTTAGTAGTGGTAAAACCGGCACTGATTAAATAGTATATCTAAAATTGCTAAAAAAGTCTCTGTAAGGGATAGTATGCCTATACAAGTAGACGACCTCCGTAGCCGAGTGGTTCGCACGCCGGTTTCAAGGTGTCGCCATCTCTGAGGTCCCGGGTTCGATTCCCGGTCGGGTCAATTTATAAAATGAACTTTTCTATATTGACTCGGGTCTGGGTGTTGTGGTACCTTCGTTGTCTCAGATACTCCATAATACGGGGGCTTTAGCTACTCATCTTGGAATCTGAGCAATGTATGTGATGTTGTTAAATATTTATTTATTTATTTAAGTAATATTAATACAACTGATTAGTAAATGATATACTAGACTACTTGTCTCAGAATTATATAAGTATTTTTCTTCCCACAAACTCTCACCCTTCTTTAAACATCCCGACGAGACCCTAGCTGAATATGGCAACCATAATCAAGAAGCACAGAATACACACAAGCACACAGAAATCAAGAAGCACAGAGCTAAAATCAGTTCAATGAACACATCCTCAAAGATATAAGTATGACCGGGCACCGGATGTAAAAACCGCGCTCCCCGGCCTGGGTTAACACCGGCTTATCGACACAACTTCATAGTCTACTGATGACTGGACGAAAGCCACGATGGGACGGACATGTTTCAAAGTCCCTAAATGAACTAATTGGGACTGGACTGTACCTTTCCATTTTTAGATCATAGGTATTACATTATACCAAAATTCAATTCGATTGGTCCAGTACTTTAGAAGAAAGTCAGCGGAAATAAATGGATGGACAGACAGACGAAAATCATAGTGGCTCGTTTTCTATAATAAGATGATTCAAACTTACAGCATTTTATTTTTTTATTATATTATATGTTTTAATAGGGTTATAAAAATTGAAACAACTTGATTATATATGCACGACAATATATTATTGACATACCTACTCAATAAATGGAAATATTCTTGATACAAAATAAATTAGAAATTATCGTTTTCATTTTTCTTATTGAATAGTCCATCTGTACTAAATTCAGATATATCCAGTTCACTGTCATCCTTATGCGCTATGGTTTTTGGTTTAACAAATGAATTATGGTTTACTACAGGTGGAATACTTTCCGAATCATCTAAGATTGAACTCCCCAAACTAGTATTACTGCCGCCCACACTGGAAGCTCTAATTATTGGTCCTCGCATTATGTCAACACCACCGACAATAGCAGTTGACGGTGTTTCATTACGACGAGCTAACTGGGACTCTATAGTTTTCTTGAGTTCTGCTATTTTCGGGCTTGCTCTAGTGCTAATTTGTAGTTTTGTATCTTCCTTTAAAGGTTCATTTTCAATACTATAAAAAAAACAAAAGATATCATTACTTAATTACCATTATAATACTTAATACTTTTAGTATCTTATAAAGGAGAGAGAATAACAGTATTTTACAAACCTCGATATGTCCCATTCTTCTCCATCTAAGTTTATTAAACCAAGCTCGTATTTCTCCTTGTTATCACTTTTCTCAGTAATACTCTGAGAAGGCGACGCACTTAGAGATTTCATTTGTATAGCATCCATATCAAACAACACCTTCTTCTTATTCAAAGAAGATGTGGAGGACGCATTTTTCAAAACACTTTTTGTTTGTTTTTTACCATTTAAAATATTGTCTTTTACTATAACTTCATCAACTGGGGTGTGTTCTGACAAATCCGTGTCGCTTTCGTCGTTCTTGTCTGGATTATTGCTTAAAATAGGAACATCTGGTTTGACAAAAGTTATATTAGTCGCAGATTGTGAACGAAGTAAATGATGGTCATTAGTCCCATATTTAGGAAGAGCGTTGTGATAATCGGAACTTGCTGAGAGTGGTCTACGTGCTGGAGATTTAATTAAATTCTCTATAGATTTAGATGCTTGACTTTCCTGAACAACCGCTGTATGATACTTATGATCACTTTCTTTAGAATCTGTGTCAGTGTTTTCTTCGTTTGTGATTGTGGAGTTTGGCGAAGAATTGAATTCCGGCTTCATATTTTTTCTTGTTACCATTGTCTTAGAACTTTTCTTTGGCGTAAAACTGTTACGTCTTGTTTCTGATGTCAAATTGGGCTCTAATAAAGCCGACTTACACTTCTGATATTCGGGGCTTGAATGCGGGGAATCAGAAGGAGTCTTCAACAGAGTCATTGCTCGTTTCGCTACTTGGGCATCTAATGATTTCCTTTTATCTCTAGCGTTATTGTCATTTGGCTTTACTAAGGATAACGCCTTACTTTTCACATTTGATATTACTGAAGAAATACTGAATGCCTTTGAGAGTTTGGTTGGTGATGAATAATCTTGTGATTCTATTGTCGCTTTCTTTGGTAAATTGGAGTCCAGGTACGTTAAAATAGAATGTCGTATTTTTTCATGAGATGGATTTTTCTAAAACAATGTTAATATATGCTTAGTGAAAAATGCTTAAAATTTCACTTTGTCCCTGGCATTCGGAGATGGGACACGAACTCACGACCTTTCACAATCCGGGCGACAGCTCTAACCACTGAGCTACCCTGGACTTAAAAGGACTGTCGAATTTTTAAAGCACTTGTTACTTTTTCGCTACTACAGAGCGTATTTTCACCAATCTTCAGGAAATCCATCCAAACAGCCGAAAGAAATATATTTATAAACATTTAAACTTTCGATAAAGAACCTCAGAAATCCCGTCTCAGAATGCCAGGGACAAAGTGGATTTTTGAGCATTGTTCATTAAGAACATTTTTCAGTATAGCATAGTAAATGCAAAATTGATCAAATATATGAACAATGTTAATATGATAAAAAAACTAAAAAATGTTTAATTATATTACAATAGTTATATTAAATTAAATAGAAACCAGCTAGTGCGTGCTATAAAGTAATTCCTACAAGTTGAGGCGGTGGAGGAGCCTGATACATGTAAAATTGTCTTTTAATTGATGTAAGGAAGTATGGTAATATATAACACAAAAGATGGTCAGGATTGATTGTCGTTTTTGTCTTCCATTGCAAAACATACAGAGGAGACATGGTATACTCTTGGTGCAGATGAATGAGGGTGTAAGCTCGTCTCTCAATAGTTCTACTACTTGTATAAAAGGATATCACTTGTAGTCTATTGCATATATCGCCTGTTTTCACCTGGACCTATGCATTATCTCATAATATTATTTTATAACATTAGCAGGAAGTAAGATTACCTTGGCTTTGAGTTCAACATTTTGTTGTAATTTTACCCGTTGCTTCTGGTAATTAACTTTTGAAAGTCTGTTTTTTAAAGGATCAATCCCAGCTGTTATAAGACGGCTATTAACTTCTTCTGTAATTTTGGCTCTAAGTACTTTCATTGGACTGAAAAATAAAAGTAGGTATATTGTCGAGTTTTTTAAAACAAAATAGGTATAAATTTAGGTGTTCTAATAGAATCCTCATGATTACCTTTGCGGTGTAACAACTGGACCATTTTTTTCAATTTGTAAAACGTTTGTAACTCCATTTATCGCTCTATTTTTCTTAGATTTTCTTTCTTTAATTTTGTGCCCTTCAGTCTTTTTTAACTGCGGTATGTGATTATGATTAATTTCTTTTTCATTTTTTCTTACGGTCTTATTGATATGTTCTTCTATTTTTAAATCACGGTAACCTTGTAATGTATTATCTTGTTTTTTGGATTCAACTTTAATTTTTGAGACATTTTTACTGTCTATGCTTGAGACATCGGAAGAACTAGAGCTAGATGATTGTATAGCGAGAAGAGCTTTAGCTTTCTGGTGAAGTTTTTCAAGTGTCTGGCGGTTGGTGTCTGATGCAGGGTTTCCAAAAGGCTTCCTTGAACCTGTTTTTTGGTTCATACATTCTTTTGATTTATCAGCAGGTTCCTACAAAAATAATTATTATGTAAATAATGATTAACTCCGACGAATAACCTATGAAATAGGAACTTTAATATTGATATGAGATTTTATCCAACTCCTTGAACAGAATTAAGGTTAGGCAAAAAGCTGCAACCGGTTTCCTAAAGATCGTATCCTGTAAAAATAACCATTCCCAAAAACTCAAGGATTGGATACTATAGGTTCATAGAAACAGTAGTTTTTTCATCATGTAGTAAATGAAAGAAACATACCAAAGTAATTTTATCATCACTTGCAATTATTTCCTTTGTTGGTTCTCTTAATTTCTTTTGTAATATTGCTTCTAAATGCTCTACTCTTGCCTTTTCAGTTTCAGCCTGTACACGTGATTCTCTCGCTTCCTTTGCTACTTCATTAAGCTTTTGAAGAAGATATTCGTATTGCTTTGCCGAATTTTCGGCACGACTAGCCCATTGCATCATTTGGGTTTCATTTTCTTTACGCCTTTCACTTTCCTCCTTTTCTATTTTCAATCTCTGGAATATAATGCAAATGTTAAGTAAAAATAAGAATACTTGTGTATCTTTTAAATGTTACCTATAAAAACTTACCGAATCTATTAGTTCTTGCTTTAATGCTAATATTTCTGAGCCTTGTTTATTTATAGTGATATTTAATTCATCTATTATTTTTAATTCATTTGTAGCGATTGGAGTTGCTGGATTTTCCTTTTCTTTTAGAGAGTGAATAGTTTCCATGATTTGGTTTCTCAGTAAATTTATTTCCTTGTTATATTTATCATGTTCCTCCTTTTTCCATTCTTCAATTCTATCCAGCAAGTTTACTTCATAATTTGTAGATACCTCAGCATCTTTCATCTGCTTACTATTTGGCACCGTGTTAATTTGCTCAGTAACACTGTTATTGTTGTGATTTTTTGCCACAGCAGTATTTTGTTTATTAAAGTTTTTGATAATTTCTTCCATTTCTTTCAATTTATTTTGAAGCTCTGTCACTTCTTCCCTTAGTTTGTTATTTTCTATACTATGTGTAATATCTTTCGTATTTTCTTCAAAGTCTTTATGGGGTATTTCTTTAATTTGTGGATGTCTTCTAGAGATATGACTTTTGAGATATAATTGGTTCATGAATACCTTATCGCAGTAGCTACACTTGTTGTATTGGATTTCATCTCCTGTATTACTTGTATGAAAGAACTCTCTTTTGTTAGTCAAAGTTTTTAAAATCATATTTGCAATGTTATCATTGCCATATGGCAGCGGCGTTCGGTACGTATATTTTGATTTTCTTTTTAATTTTCTCATTTCTTCATCTCTATCTTTGAGTTCCTTTTTTGTTACATCAAGTTCCTAAAAATGTATGAGATTGATTGTAGGATAATAAAGATAATTGAAAAAAACGGTAAATGATTTAGTCTATAAAACGTGGCAATACCTTTTAGAAACATCCAGTATATAACTTAAGAGTCAAAAGCATATCAAATAACCTGATTTTTATATAAACAATGTACCTGAGCGAGTGAGTTTATTTCTTCTCGTAGAACATAGACACTTCTATCAAGGTAGTGTCTACAGAATTGTTGATATTCAACGGTCAACTGTGCAAGTCGGAACATTTTCAGGACTCCATCAT